TTCAATTTAGAGATAACGAATGGAAGAGAACAAAAATAACAACATATATTTATAAGAAACAAGTTTAGGTTACAAGGAAATACAATGGAGAAGTATGGTTGCTGCTCGTAAGGAGTCTCAAATGGTGGATAGAGAATGAGGAATGGTTGCTGTCACTTAACTATTGTTAAAACTATACAACTGAAAAACAGAAACTGAACTATCCTAAGTGATCTCTTCTTAAGGAATTTGATGCTTTCTTCGTGTTGGAACATCCTATTTATAGGCTAGAAGAGTGGATAACAAAACTTGTAATTCCACTCGAGTTGTTTCTTGACTGCATGAAGAGGCAGTGTGAACAGTGCTCTTTTGTGAAGCAAGTTGCTGGATGGGACAACTTAAGGTTGATATTTGCCTTTTCTTTTGAATTCCCCATGCTTGTTTTTTCTCTCATCGAATGGTTGTTCTTTATTCTCTGCTATACATGTTTCTTCCTGCTTGATTGCTGTACTTCTTTCTGCTTTTTGGAAACTTCTTTTCAACGTTTCCTGCAAAGTGGTTAGAGAAAGGGTTAGTGGAGCAGGTGTGCAAATAAGTCAATCCGTTCCCCTTTTCTTAAATTCTCAACTGATTATATCATCATTCATTCCCTTCTGGTGTTTTTGTTCCTAAGATCTAGAAATGTGTTTTTAAAGCAGAAATTAGTCACCAGATGAAGGAACGGATAAAATTTTTCCATCAAAATGAGCTTGGATGGGAACAAATTTTTGTCCCATCAGTAATCAATTCTCGAATTAGGATTCCTTAAAGCTTTAATTTTTTATGTAAAGCTTGATTCTTGAATTAATTAGGAGGTTAATTGTTGATACTCCCTACATATAATCCAATGGTTAGGGTTTGCAGATTGTATGTTAGGTATCTTTTGATGATAAGGGTGGTCATGGAACCATAATTATTTAATTATTACAAAGGTTATAATTTTATTAATTATGGTATGAGACCTGCATGTCTCATCTTTACCTTTTTATTTCTGATTGTATTATCTTCTCATTGCATACTCTCCCTGAATGTAACTTGGGGTTTCTCTTTAATTCTATGTAATTAGTACTAGGAAAGAGGAGTTTAGGCCATGTAGATGAAATAGGAGTGATTCGGCCATAGAGATGAAACTTGGAGCGGATCAACCATGTAAAGGACAAATGCCTATAATGGAAGTTTTGAATGTGAATCGAGGTGCCATGACCATCCTCGACTTATGTTTTATTTTCCGTTTATATAGTGTGCATGTGTTTGTGTTCGACTGGCATGACAATCGATGAGAATACATAATACTATGACCCATGTGCTGTTTTGGCCAGAGCACTTTAGCGTGCTAACACAACAAAGAAGAGCATGTGGTTCTGGTCGTACGCGAGCATGTCACATACGATGAGACCTTATATACCCATAATTAAAATGAACCCTCAATTATTCAATGTATTGATTGCTTCCTAGTGTTGATAATGCTTAAATCCTTTCAATGTAGCAGTGCTCTCTAACTTAGCTAAGACCTATTATTTTGTTGGTTACATGTTCTACTTGAAGTGTTGGACACTTAAGATAGTGGTTTGTGCTTGACTGGATGAAAAGTCTTCAGGCTCAACCGAGATGATTCATTTGGGGTAATGGTGTACTAGGTTATCCTACCCTTAATGTAAATCTTTATTTTACCCCGAGCCTTTCTTTTGTCTTGTAGGCTAAAGGACATAACACACAAATAGGTCGAACAATAGAAATAAAAAAGGATAGTCAAGCTTTACAAAGTTTACCTTTGCTATAATTGTATAACTTAAGCAAGTGACATCTATTTTTTATTAGAGGAAATGTTGTTCTAATCTAAGGGACTAACCACTTCACCTCCATAAGTCTGAATTGCTCCGCGTTATTAACATTTTGCATGCTGAGGGCAATTTTTTTTTGGTTTCTTACAATAAGGCATCCATATTGTTTCTTCTATGTCTGTCTGAATGCTTGCGAACAAGTGGTTAAATAAAAATAATGAATTGATAAGTGTAACGATTGTATGTGGTTGGATCCATTTGGTGATTATGCAGTTGTATAGTTGAGTAATATAGTGATAGATGAGTGTGTGGTACCGTGTAGATTAAAACCACGTTAGTGTATGTTCCACTTTAGGATCACAAGCTTTGGTATTGCAAATAAACATATTTGAAAAGCCAATAAGAAAAGAATGAACGAAGGATATGGTTTGTGAAGGTATGGAATAGCTTTTTTGAAACATTGTGGTTTATATTATATTATATTTGTGGCTGTGGGTGAGCGGAAGTTGAAACCAAGCACAATGCATTACCAATAATCTAAAAGATAAACATAATAAGGACTTAGGAAAGTTAATCAATAGTTTGTGATAATGTTGAAATATTACACTTGTAATGAAGAAATCTCTCCATAGATAATATACATTGTTCTCCCTAAACCATGTTGGATTACCTTATTTACATAGTTACCAAACCAATATAATAAAGGGAAATATTATTCTCCTTTTACATGAGATTACTTCTCTCCTACTCTCTCACTTCGATTTCCGCACCTCACCTTTTTTTTTTCTTTTTTTTTTTCTTGTAATGGTGGGACCCACCCATTTTATCTCTACAACATAAGATACCTATCTTATGTTGAAGGAGAATAATAAAATCCTATAATAAATGACTCTCGTACGTAGCTTGGAAGAAGGTGGAACAAAATTAGAAAAACCTTTCCCCCCTCTCACGTAAGCAAACAACTATGGTAACAATGTGGTCTTCTCACCACAGACATTGCTAGTAACCATAAGAAAATAAAAAACAAGCAAGAGGAAAAAGAAAACACAAGAAGAGAGGTTACCTAATCGATGAAGAAAACAACTTGGTGAGGGTCAACATGGTGAAAGTGAAGGAAATCGTGGGAAAAAAAAACAGAAGAACTCGAAAGAGAAAAATGAAGGCACAAAACTACTTGCAAAGAAATTTAAATGACCCAGGGATAAGTTAAAATAATCATTTTATAAGTGACATGAATGAAACAGGGAACATCGTCACTACACGATCACAACACACGATCCCCATTACACGTCTCAAAACTCAAAACTTGCCACATGACCATGATTGTCGTAAAAAAAACACGCCTTAAACATTTGAAAAGATGTTCTCAAAAGTTCTAAAGCACTATTTGAAAATTGAAAACCATTTGGGCATAGCTTAACTCCAGGATTGAGATTCTTCCTTGAGGCGACATTGGAAAGATAATACCGTCCAAAGAACACAATCCATCATGATCTTTCGTCCAAGACTAGTATTTCATCTTGCCATTGTGTCTTACACAATACCAAGCTAGGGGCTTCTGTTACGCGCCTAACTCTGGCTCCATACAACCCATACTTCATTTATTAATATAAGACAAAAAATAATAATCCCAACCCTGTTTGCACATTAAATGCATCTCATCACTTAAAATGATGATCCCAATGCAAATACCATATTTCCCATCTTGGTATGACTCTCGTTACTAGAACTCACCACATCCTCCATGATGCACCACTATAAAAGACACCTCATGTACACATACAAAAGGGTTCTTTTCCACTCCTTCTTCATCACTAAAGTCATCCCCTTAAACACCAAAACTCATTTGTATTGGCTTTTTAAGAAAGTTCTTTTTATCACTTTCTTATTTTAAAAGTACTTTTTATAAAAGTTACAACTATTTAGATTTTTAAAAAAATATTTGATTTTTAAAAAAAATATTTGACTTTTGACTTCTGTTTTTTTTAAAAACTAACATTTTTAGCTTCCGAAAAAAGTAAGAATTTAACTTTTTTATGACTTCTGCTTTTTTTAAAAGCAGACATCCAAACAGACTTTTTTCGAGAAGTGTTTTTTTTTTCTTAAAAAAAAACAGCTTTTGAAGAAAAAAAACCCTATCCAAACGGGCTTTTCGAAATGCATACATTTGTCTCATACACTATAGAGATGGTGAGAAAAGATATATTACCTCATGTTAAAAGTCCTTCACCTGGTAAATAAAGCAACAAACAACCCTATCCCTAGTTACACATCCGAACTTAAAACTTTACTAGTGAACCTAAGAACACCATCTATTCATACGCAATTGTGAAGCACAAAATAGCAACGATTGCAAGGATTTATACCACTTTCGCCTTTTTGTGACAAGGTTGTTAACGAGTGAATCTTCAGTACTACCGCAATAGGTACATCATTGCTTAAAATAAAAAATAGTAGGGACATGCAAGAAATAAAATCAAAAGATAAGGATTTAAATGATATAAAAAATTTCTGATTTCGGAAAAAAGATGCACCCAAGTGGATGCATCCGATGCACAATAGAAATTTCGGTTGTTAACAACCCTATGCTCTAAAGCATCGAGAAGCATATGTAAAAATAGGATCTGGATTCTCTTCGTATTCACATGTAACAAGGGAAATCATAATCATACAAAGGTGATTCAATGATAAAAAAAGAGAAGAGAGAAAAAAAAATAAAATAGATAGTTATAAAATCATAACCGTTGATTTACCTTTATATGGTTGTGATCTTCCCACATGATCATATTTTTTTTTTTTTTGACACATTAGAGCCTCCATTTTCGTAAAAATATCCCACTTGACAAACTAGTTACATCCCAAATTGCGACACCTTTAAATCATCATTGTAATTTACTGTTGTTTTGGGAAAATTTAAACCGACAAATAAAACATAATAAATTCGATGGCAGATAAAGCATAACATTGATAAACGCCAATATTAATTTTTCGTGAGAAACATAACAAAATAAAAAAATAGTTAAAATTAATTTTTAAGATTAATATCACTAAATTGAAGGTTTGGTAAAGTGTTTTAGCTTTAGACTTTCTAGAGAAGAAGACGTGGCAACCCACGATTGAACCTCATACGAGGATTCTGTCATTTTCTGTTTTTAAACGAAGAGTCAGGAGAGAGAGAGAGATAGTATGGTATAGAGAGAGAGAAGAAAAAAAAAGGAAGCTCACCAGCAGATAGAAAGAGAAAGGAAGAGAGAGAGAGAGAAAAACGTCCGTTAATTTCAGTTAAAAATAAAAAAAAACAGAAAAAAGAGAGAAAGAATGGTCACAGAGGAAGAGATATCAGAAGCGGTGCGGTCTCTGTTGAGAGAATGGAACCCTAGAAGGCAAAGCTTCACGACGTTGAACCAAGTGGTTCAGGAGCTTCAGGCCAAGCTTGGCCATGACCTAACCCACAAGCTCGATTTCATAACCGCGCAGATCAACCTCCTCTTCGGATCCCAACAACCTCCGCCGCCGCATCCTCCGCCGCAGCATCCGCAGAGGCAGTTACAACAACAACAACAACAACCGCCTTCTCTTTCCAAGGACCATTTTGCCCTTCACCAAAACCCTAATTTCCACACTGCTACCGTCAGTTCCGCCTTCCAGAACTTCCCTTCCAACCCCGCACCGCCCGTTAAACCCGACACTTCCGCTGCCGCTGTCACCGTCGTTGCGGATGTTGCTACCACTGCAGCTCCTCCTCCTGCTAACGAGGTCCCCAAGGAAGGGTTAGGTTTCAATTTTTTATTTTTTGTTTTTCTGTTTTATTTTGTTTTTTATTCTGAAACGGTTGGAAGATAAATGGAAAATGAATTGGGTTGGTTAATGCTACTTTAAAAGTGGGGTTTTGCTAGTAATTTGTTTAATTGTTGGAAAGTAGAGAGTTTGAAATCTCAATTTTTGTTGCTTTCTAGTAGTTGGGGTTTGAGTGGGAAAATTAAAAAATCTAAGTTGAGTCTTGGTATGCTTAGAATTAGCTTTAACAAAATGTTCAGTTCAAGATTTAGGTACTGGATGTGGTGTAGGTGAGGATGAACTTGTGGTGTTTGATGGTGGCTCCTTCGCTATGCTTGTGGTGGCTGCCAGAGAGGGTGGCGGTGCAAACTCCAATGCCCAAGTCAGTGTGTGAAAGAGAGTGAATTGGTGAGGGTTAGGTGCATACATGAGAGTTTGAGTGGAGTGGTGCGGGTTAGGTGCTGGTTTGACCTCTGTATTTATAAGAGGGGTGTCAAGTTGATGGAGTGTCAAGGGGTGGGTGGAACAAATAGCAATTATGGAAGCAATGCCTCCTTCAATGAAATCTTTAATACCCATTTCGAGTTATGAAGAAAAGTTTCAAATTTTGAAAGAATTAATGAAATTAAAGACGTGGGGTGGGGTTGATTTTGTCCCGGAGAATTTCTGAAGGGGAATTATTTGGAGTTAGTGCAACCGAATGGATTGATTCAAACTAAAGGCAGATGATACAAGAGAAGGAACTTCTGGCTTTTTCATTTTTTTTCATTAAAAAACTTTTTTTTTTAAAGAGCTTCTCCAAAAAAGTGTTTGGTTCGGATTCTCTTTTAAGGATAAGAGAAGCTCAGAGTAAACTGGGCCAAATGGGGGGATTAAATAATACCTTTTTTTTTCAAAAAAAAATTGTCTAATTGTTATAAACATTTTTAAAATTTTTTAATATAAAAAGATTTTTTTTTTTAAATATTCACAAACGAACGGGCTTTTATACTCTTTCAATGGCTAAGAATTGGTTTAAGATTTGTTAAAGTAATATTTAAAATTAAATTCAGTTCCGAATATGATTATGCAATTCACATGTATTTTCTTTTTTAGTTGGACTAACTATAGTACTCTGTACTCTCAGTATATATAAGAACTTCTGGGGAGGAATATGGAAGCCTGGTTCTAACTTTTAGTCTCTGTGTGCTAAAAATCAGCTTTAACAACAGATGGAAATGTCAGCATAGTTGTTTCCATAGCCGCGAGCCGCGCCATATGGGCGTTGCGGTGCCTTGCCGCAAGAAACTACGTCGCGCCGCACCAGAACGCAATAACTGCCATTGCGATCGCATTTGCGGCCAAATCGCAACCATATTGCTGTCATAAGGCAAAATGTCAATTTTGTCCTAAATTTAAATGTGTAACAGAAAATTTTTAAGAGTTTTTTAATCTATTCGCGTCTCTCTCTGTCACTTCTGCTATCTCTGCCTTTAAAAAATATTTCTTTTTGTCATTATTTCTGTCATATATCTATTCCGCTATTTCGGCAATCTGCTATAGCGTTTTTTGGGGTTGGCCGCGACATGCTGCAATCCGCATTTGATAACTGTGGTTGTTTCCCAAAATCACTGTATGGTATAATAAAGCACCGCTCCTTTTTTGGGACTGAGGGTTTCGGAGGCAAAGAGAAATGAGGGTAAAATTTTCATTTCAAGTAAACATTTTCTAATTTAAGAATTTTTTAGAATGAAAGGAATTAAATGATAGATTATCATGAAACCTTCCTATCATCCCATATTCATTTTTGTACATACTATATAATTCTCTTAATTCAAAAATGAAAACTTTACCCTCTTTTCCTTTTCCTTCCAAAACCCTCCATTAAAACAAATAATTTTTTACATTTGTCAATTTGTGCCAATTCTGCTTGTATGATCGAACTTCTTCGTTTTGTATCTTTTAATGACATTTTATATGTCATTAAAAGATACAAAACGAAGAAGATACAAGCGAGGTGGACCTAGAGGACGCGTATGATGATATGAATAGAAGATTTGTACGTAGAATTAATACACATTAAGTTAAGGAGGCTTTAAAGAAGATGAAGACTAATAAAGCCTTGGGGCCTGATGGTGTCCCTATTGAAGTGTGGAGAGGCTTGGGGGATGTGGCAATAAAATGGTTGACTAATCTTTTTAATAAGATTCTCCAGACGAATAAGATGCCTGATGCATGGAGGAAAAGTATGATTGTGCCTATCTACAAAAACAAGGGAGATATACAAAATTGTTCAAACTATAGAGGCATTAAGCTAATGAGCCATACTATGAAGTTGTGGGAGAGGGTTATTGAGCATCGCTTGAGGAGAGATACCAAGGTTTCTGTAAATCAATTTGGATTTATGCCAGGAAGATGTACCATGGAAGCCATTTTCTTGATGCGACAACTAATGGAAAGATACCGAGCAAAGAAGAAGGACTTGCATATGGTGTTCATAGACCTTGAGAAAGCATACGATAGGGTTCCAAGGAAAGTTTTATGGTGGGTTCTGGAGAAGAAAAAGGTTCCATTAAAGTATGTAAAGGCAATTAAGGATATGTATGATGGGGCTACTACATGTGTAAAAGCTTGTAACGGATCATCAAGTTATTTTCCTATCACGGTAGGTGTACACCAAGGGTCGGCTCTAAGTCCTTACCTCTTTGCCTTAGTTATGGATGAGCTAACAAAAGATATTCAAGAGGAAGTGCCATGGTGTATGCTTTTTGCAGACGATATTGTGCTTATTGATGAGAGCAAGGAGGGTGTTAATAGAAAACTTGAATTGTGGAGAAGCACATTGGAATCCAAAGGATTCACATTAAGTCGAAGTAAGACTGAGTATCTGAAGTGTGAGTTTTCTCTGGTACGAGATGGGGACCAAGAGCCCGTGCATCTAAATGGTCAAGAGGTACCCAAAAAAGATGCTTTTAAATACTTGGGCTCCATTTTACAAAAAGTGGAGAGATTGATGAGGATGTAAATCACAGAATCAGAGCAGGGTGGATGAAATGGCGCAGTGCATCTGCATTTTTGTGTGAACGCAAAATCCCCCTGAAGTTAAAAGGAAAATTCTATAAAACGGCAGTAAGACCGGCAATGCTATATGGAGCAGAATGTTGGCCAGCACATAGGCAACATGAGCATAAGATGGGAGTAGCAGAGATGAGGATGTTAAGGTGGATGTGTGGTTACACAAGGATGGATAAGATAAGAACTGAAGATATTCGACGAAAGGTCGGAGTAGTACCGGTAGCCGAGAAGATGAGAGAACATAGATTGAGGTGGTTTGGGCACGTGATGAGAAGACCCATGGATGCTCCTGTAAGAACAGAAGTTTGTTACCAAGAGCTAAACACAAAAAAAGGCAGAGGTAGGCCGAAGCTTACTTGAGGGAAGGTAGTAAAACAAGATTTAATGGAGTGGGATATAGATTGGCGGACAGCATGTCTTAGAACGGAATGGAGAAAAGCTATAAGTATGGTGGAGGGTTAGACCCGCTGTTATTCCTATGTTCCAGATGGTCCCTTTTTAGTCCTTTTCCCCTTCATTTCCCCCACTTCTTCTTGTCCCTTCCTTTTTTACTTTTATTTATTTATATATACATATATTTTTTTTTATTTTTTATTTTTTATTTTTTATTTTTTATTTTTATTTTTATTTTTATTTTTATTTTTATTTTTTATTTTTTTATTTTTATTTTTATTTTTATTTTTTTCAACCGTTTTGTATCTTTCATGTGGGTTCATCTACCACCGACCCCAATTAATTTGGGATAAAGGTGTTGTTGATGTTGATGTTGATGTTAACTGACATTTTATATGTGTCTTGTTAACTTTGCTTTGTTATTACAATTGAGATTTGATTTGATATTTGGTAATGTTAAGTAATGCTATTCTTGTTGCGTCTTGCAGTACTCAAACTAAGGCAAAGAGAAGGGGTGGCCCAGGAGGTCTCAACAAACTTTGTGGTGTTTCACCTGAACTTCAGGTCATTGTTGGCCAGCCAGCATTGCCAAGGACTGAGGTTTATACTAATATTTTTTAAGTTTATCATTCACTTTACATTTTTCAATCTAGTTTCCAGCAAGATTTCTGACATGTGGAATGACTGTGGTTTAGATTGTGAAGCAACTCTGGGCTTACATAAGGAAAAACAATCTCCAAGATCCTAGCAACAAAAGGAAAATAATTTGCAATGATGAGCTGCGTGTGGTGTTTGAGACTGATTGTACTGATATGTTCAAGATGAATAAGTTGCTAGCTAAACACATAATTCCCCTTGAACCAACCAGTAGGTATCTGGGTTATGGTGATATTTTTATGAAATTGTGGTATGATGCATTGTTTGAATTATTCATGTTTTGGCACTTTCAGAACAGCCTGTTCCAAAGAAGCAGAAGGTAGATGTGGAGTCGGGAACAAAAAGTGCTGAGCCTGCTCCTTCTGTAATAATATCAGATGCACTTGCTAACTTTTTTGGCATTACTGGAAGGGAGATGCTACAGTCAGAGGTTCTGAGACGTATCTGGGAGTACATAAAGGTTAACCAGCTAGAGGTAAGCAATGGAGAGAGAACATTTATACTAAGTTACATTGTGGCACATTAAAGTTAGGTATCATGAGAATGATAATTATTGATAACTTGATAGTTTTGCTAAATAATGCAGATTTGTGAACTACAAATGTCCATCAAAGCTCTTTGCCTTTAATTCTTTCAGCTCTACCTCACTTTAACAACTTGGTCTTATTATTAGTATATGAGTTTTCCTTTCCCAGTTTATTGTTTTGTATTTTTACTTTAATTACTAGTATTTTGTTACATCTTATATTTTGATTACTTTGTTTTACCTAGCGCGATTAAATCTAGGATCAAAGCTTGAAATGTTAGTCTGTGTCAGTCTAATTTGTTAATAGTTAGTTGAAAAAAGAGATGGTCTTATTGATAAAGTTGTGTATTACATATGTACAATTGCTCTCTATTTAAAGAGACTAAATAACCTAATGGGCTAAGCTCAAAGAAGATTCTAGAATGAAAATAAAAAAGCAAATACTATTATTTACAACACTCCTCCTCAAGCTGAGGAATAGATATTTATTATTCCCAGCTTACTAGTAAGCTCTTGAAACCTTTCTGAGGGAAGTCCCTTTGTTAGAATATCAGCTAATTGACGTCCAGAAAGGATGTATGGAGTGGTGATCAACCCGCTATCAAGCTTCTCTTTGATAAAATGGCGGTCGACCTCAATGTGCTTAGTCCGATCATGTTGAACTGGATTATGAGCTATACAAATGGCGGACTTATTATCACAAAATAACTTCATAGGTCCTTCACATCTTATTTTAAGATTACCAAGTATAATTCTCAACCACAATAGTTCACAAACGCCTTGAGCCATAGCTCGAAATTCAGCCTCAGCACTCGATCTGGCAACCACGTCCTGCTTCTTACTCCTCCATGTCACTAGGTTACCACAAAAAAACATACAATAACCAGTTGTAGATCGACGATCAGTTACGGATCCAGCATAATCAGCATCAGTATAAACTTCTAAAGAGAGATTGCCATTACGCCGGAACAACAGTCCTTTACCAGGAGTGCCTTTAAGATATTGAAGAATTCAGTGTTTTTCTTTTGGATTATGCATGAACTGACTTACAATACTGACATCATAAGCAAGATCTGGTCTAGTATGAGCCAAATATATCAGTCTCCCAACTAACCGTTGATATTGTCCTTTATCAACTGGAGGACTCTCCTCTTCATAACCCATCTTGTGATTCTGCTCAATAGGAGTACTAGAGGGTTTACACCCAAGTTTTCCCGCTTCTTTAAGAAGATCAAGGACATATTTCCTCTGGCTGATAAAAATTCCTTCCTTTGAATGAGCTACCTCTATCCCTAGGAAATATTTCAATCTCCCAAGATCTTTAATTTCAAACTCAGAGGCTAGCCGTGCTTGTAGAAAATGTTTCTCAGCAATATCATCACCTGTTATAATAATATCATCAACATATACAAGGAGTACAGTTAGCTTCCCATTTTGGGAGTGCTTGAAGAATAGTGTGTGATCTCCTTGACTCTGTTTATATCCTAAGGTCAACATAACTTTAGTAAATCTCCCAAACCAGGCACGAGGAGACTGTTTCAAACCATACAAAGCCTTTTTTAACCTGCAAACTTTATTTCCTCCATCCATAGAGCCAAAGCCAGGTGGGATTTCCATGTAGACTTCTTCTTCTAACTCACCATTAAGGAAAACATTCTTCACATCAAATTGATTCATATCCCAGTTGTAATGGGCAGCAAGGGACAACAAAGCTCTCACAGTATTCATCTTTGCAACTGGGGCAAAAGTTTCTTCATAATCAATGCCATAGGTCTGAGTGTAACCCTTGGCAACTAACCGAGCCTTATATCTCTCAAGAGTACCATCGGAATTATATTTCAATGCATAAACCCATCTGCACCCTACTGCTTTCTTTCTATCAGGTCTATCAACAACCTCCCATGTTTTATTTTTCTCCAAGGCATTCATCTCATCTTGCATGGCTCGAGCCCAATTCTCATATTTTAATGCTTCATGTACTGATTTTGGGATTGAGATAGAATCTAGTGCTGAAATAAAGCTTTTGTGCTGCACAGAAAGGTTAGTAAAAGAGACAAAATGAGAGATAGGGTGTTGGGTACAAGATCTTTTCCCTTTTCTTAAGGCAATAGGTAAGTCATCAGAGGTACTGGGTAAGCTATCAGAAGCAATGGGCAAGTCATTAGATGCAACAATATTAGGTTCAGAAACAGGAGAAGTAATAATATTAGAATCAGAAACAAGAGATTCAGGACTTACCAGTGGTTCAGACGATTGAGGTTGCTGGTGAAGTAGTGTGGGCTGCTTTCTCCTTTGATATACCAACTCAGGTGTCACAATCCTCCGTATTTTCGATGTATCAGATGGGTCAGACACAAAAGAATCAGAAACAAGAGGAAGAGGTGTAGGAGAAGGCATGGAAGGTCCAGACTCAAAGATAGAAGGTGATGAATCTACTGAAGAACTGCTCTCCCCCTGAAGATGAGGACTTGGAAAAAAGGACTCAGATTCATGAAATGTGACATCCATTGAGACAGAGAATTTTCGACTAGTAGGATGATAACACTTGTAGCCTTTCTTATCAGAGGCATAACCAAGGAAGATACATTTGAGAGTCCTAGGATCCAACTTACTGCGAAGATGTTTATGAACGTCGACAAAGACAACACACCCAAACACTCGTGGCTGAAGACTCTGCATAGAGGGAACAGAGGGAAAGAATGAAGTCATTGAGTGAATAGGACTTACATTATCAAGGACCCGAGAGGGCAAGCGGTTGATTAAGAAAGCTGCAGTAAGAATGGCATCTCCCCAGTAGCATTTGGGTACATGATTCTGAAAAAGTAAGGCACGAGCAACTTCAAGAAGATGACGATTCTTTCTCTCAGCAACTCCATTTTGTTGAGGGGTGTCCACACAAGTAATTTCATGAATCATGCCCTGATCTTGGATGAATTTGGAAAGACACTGATTGACATATTCGGTACCATTGTCAGACCTTAGTCTTTTAATTCTTTTTCCAAATTGGGTCTCAATCATTTTATAAAATCGAAAGAATATCTGTGGTACCTCAGATTTTTCATGCATTAAATAAACCCAGGTTACACGAGTGCAATCATCAATGAAAGAAACAAACCATTTATTAGCAGAAACATGAGGAACTTTAGAAGGACCCCAAACATCAGAATGAACAAGATCAAAAGGGTCAACACTTTTAATGGTACTAGAAGGAAAAGAGACACGATGGTGTTTAGCAAACTCACAAACATCACAATGAAAACACTCAACAGACTTAGACAAAAATAATGATGGAAATAAAGACTTAAGCAAACGAAATGGAGGATGCCCCAAGCGTTTATGATGGAGCCAAATCAAAGAGTCGGCAGTAGACTGAGACTCAGTCAACAAGGTGTGATCTTTAACATACTTTGCAGAAGATTCTGACACCAGATAGTACAACCCACCTTGCTCTTTAGCACCCCCAATCGTCTTCCCCGTGGCGAGATCCTGAAAAATGCAGTGAGTAGGGAAGAAAGTTACAGTGCAATTCAAATATTTGGTAATTTTATGGATAGAAAGAAGATTAGTGGAGAGTTTGGGAACATAAAGAACATCTTGGAGATGTAAGGAAGGCTGTAAATATATGTTACTGGAACCCGCAACTGATGTGTGTGAGCCATCAGCTACAGCTATTGTATGGGTGCCAATAGTAGGGTTATAAGAAAGAAAGGAGTCAGCACAACAAGCCATATGATCAGTAGCACCAGAATTAATAACCCAAGAATGTTTAAAATCAGTACAAGAAGAAAGAAAAGAATGAGTAGTGGAGCTCATACCAGTCATAGCCAAAGCACTAGTATTAGATGGCTTACTCAGAGAATTAGTACGAATCTGCTCCAACTCATCTCGGCGAATAGAAATAAATTCTGATGATGCACCATTTGAACACGCCATAATATTGAGGTGAAAATCACACAAACGCAAATCCAAATAATGTTTGACCGAAGAGAAAAACACAGATCCGGAAAGAGGATACAAAACCAAGCAGAAAAGTTTTTTTTTTTTTTTGCGTGAACAGTAACCGATGAACATTGTGCGGTGAACAGTACCCCCGTGAACAGTGTGCGATGAACAGTACCTCCGTGAACAGTTTTTTTTTTTTTTGAGCTGTTCCGGTCGTCTGATGAAAAAAAACCCTCCGTAGAATGATAGATCTGAGAAAACAGAGTGAAACAGGGGTCCTCACGGTCCAAAAGGCCCCCGGAAATTTTTTTCCAGCGGCGGCGAGAGGCAAATAGGGTTTGATTTTTAAAAGCGGTGATTTGCGGAAGCAAAGCCCTCAGAATCGAGAGCTCTGATACCAAGTTGAAAAAAGAGATGGTCTTATTGATAAAATTGTGTATTACATCTGTACAATTGCTCTCTATTTAAAGAGACTAAATAACCTAATGGGCTAAGCCCAAAGAAGATTCTAGAATGAAAATAAAAAAACAAATACTATTATTTACAACATAGTTCTATAATAGTAGGTACATTAGTAAGTTGCTATGCTTTTACATTGAGCACAAGCACATAGGCTTTCAAGCTTCTATGCCAATGGACAAATGAAGGCAAATATGGCTATAACGAGAAGAAGAAGATGAAATTGATTTTCAGTTAGTTTGGAAAAAAAAAAAGTTCAATGATATCATCATATGAATAACAAATTATATATGGTGAACTTTGTTGGGAAATAACTTGTTGACTTACACAACCCTTCAATTTATTCCTAGGATCCTGTGAATCCTATGGCAATAGTGTGTGATGCAAAGCTTCAGGAGCTCTTTGGCTGTGAAAGCATTTCAGCATTGGGGATACCTGAAGTTTTGGGCCGTCATCATATTTTTAGGAGATCATGATGCTGACAACATTCTATGGTTAGTAGAATTTACACATTCAACAATTATGTTCTCTTTTCTAACCTCTTTCAAGTTTCACTGAACCTAGTTTATGTGATTATTTAACTGTTGAGTCAAGTGTATCATGTGATGTCTCAAAATGTTGTCTGCTTTTCATGTTGTCGAATCTGTGTCTTCCAAATGTTTGTTTATATTTCAGGATAATATTATTGTATGGAATGGAAGTGCTATTTAATTGTCTTTAGCATGGCATAAACTGAAAATATTCTGTAAGTATGACAATTAACAAACATTTTAAAAGGAACTGAAACTTGGGAACTATTAAGAATCAGAAATATTACTTATCATGTCTTGTAGTCTCTTTGTTTTCTTGTTTTCCTTTGTCTCAAAAGTGATAAAAATATAAAAAAAAAACCCTTTATTTTCCCCTCTTCTTTTCCCTCAACCTCAACCACTAACCCCAACTAGTTTGGAATAAGGTGTTGTTGATCGTGATTGTCATTAGACTAGACTCCAGAAATAGGCTTGGTTGATCTTTTCATGTTTGAAACTAATTTGCTTTTTTATGAATATCCTGATCCTGTTAATTAATCTTAGACTATCATGACAGTGGCGCAGATTGACTTGATGAATAGTGTATAACAATCTCCAGAGATTATGAATGTGCTGCCTTTCATATGCATTATATTTTTTAGATACAAGTGGAAATTGAACAGATAACTTAATATAACTTACCCAAATCCTTCATCATTAGATCAAATCTAGTGGCTTTCATATGCGTATTTGTATACATAACTGTCATGAATTTCCAAAAACAATGACTTGCCCTAGTTTGGATTTGATAGTTTGCCTTTCAGATTGATGGATCCCCTTTTGCTTTTTCAAATGATATTTATACATAGAACTTAATGTAATGTTGGCTTTTGGCTGCAATGACAGATTATGCGGTGTTAATTCCAGTATAGTACGAGCTGATCTTGACCACATGTTGATATGGTTCTGTAATTTAACTGCTAGATTTGTGTTCTTAGTTCGTGTTGTTAAGATATTAGAAGAATGAAGATGTAACAGGGACAAATTATATTTTGGGAGTGGCACTGTGCTTGTAGGTCCAGTGGTTGTGGTTTGTCTAACTTGCAATTAGGTTAGTATGACCTGTGGGTATTCTGACGACTGTAAAATGCTGACATAGGAAAGAAAATGATGTACAAGTTATCTTCCTTCAAACATGACTCATGCTATTTATGTGTAGTTAATGAAATGCAGCTTGCCAGATGTACATATAATATTTTCATTTAAGAGAAAACATGGGTAAAGTATGTGCTTGCTGTGTTTTTTTTTTTTAAGTGACAAAGCTCATGTATGATTTTTTTTAACTCTCAATCGAGAGAACTTTAAAAAGGAGAATGAAGTGCTTAAAAATGTTACCCCTCTTGTACTTTTATTTGAGAATGTTACCCCAATCACATATGAAAGTTTAACGTTTTGTTTAGATTTTTTTTAACTGTAGTACTATTCAACCATCCAAAGGGCAATGATTTGTTGTACTTAATTTTAGTTGGTTAAAATCCCGATTTAAATTTACATTTTTATGATTTTTTTTTTTTCAAAATACTTTCATTAAAATTTCAAATGCTTTTACGATTTTTTATGATTTTTTTTAGTTAAAATATTTGATATTTTATCCTTTTTTTGATTTTAGATTTTAACTGTCACGGTATCAACCTTACCATGCTATTTCGTAAGCTTCACTTGGGCAATTTTTTTTTTCCCCATTTTAATTGGTTGTAAATTGATGGATGGCATTTAAAGCTGCATTTTTTTAAAATGTAGAATATTTAAATCCTAAACAAACAAATTCCTATGGTGAGGATGCACGATGGGACGATTATTCTCCTCCTCCACTTATTTGGTGTACGCTTTTGGAAACTGATAAATCTAATTAAGTAGCCGTAGCCGTTAATATGCCGTTTTGAAAAGCTAAATTGTAACGCCGGCCGCTTCAAGAATCAATGACTATCCTCACATATTAACATGAGATTTTTCAGTGTGTTTTTTCTTCACTCGCACGTTTTCTGGAAAAATTTCTCAGGAAGTCATTCATTTCAGAATTGCTCTAAGTCAAGCACGCTTAACCATGGAGTTCTTTCGTTCCGGGCTACTGAAAAGTAGATGCATCTTGTTAGTATAGGTAGTACCAATTAATTTTTATAAGCTATCCCAAACTGTGTAGTCTCATACCTGCACAGTCTTTGGAATATCTTTCTTTCGGGTGTCGATTCGACGCATTCATGCATGTAACCCCCCGTCGGAAGCTTGTCAGGAGCCACTCTTTGTCTGTGCCTCTTTGCACTGGCGATCACTCCCTGCCCTCGTCAGCGCTCGGGATGTTACATAAATCCTTATTTGCGAGAAGAATTTTAGTGGTATCGGATCACCATTTATTCAGTAGTCCGGATCAATTAAAATTATACAACTAATGAGGAGAGAGGAGAGAGAAGAAATAAAAAATAATTTTTTGTCCAAATATCATCTATGGAATGGAAGGATCACATGGGGCTTGGAGTACAAAAAAAATTTCCCTTATTTGCCTCAACTCGGTAATCATATAGCAGATTAACTTTTAATTAAAGGAAATTTTCAATGTAACAATAGGGTAATGTATTTTTCATGTTGTATAAGATAAAATTATAGATGAGATTTACTAAGAAGAAAAAAAAATAAAGCAAAATAATAAGTTTTATTTATTTTGTTGTGTACATGAGATAAAATTATCTCATGTAATATGTAAAATTATGTATTTCCCATAATAATAACCCTGAAAGGGATGCAAGTAAGGGGTTTGATTTTCTCATGTTGAATGAGAATTCAATTCTCATGTTGTAGAGATAAAAAGCATGTGGGACCCATGTGTTAGAAAAAATTATATGTAGGACCCATGTCAGCACGGAAATCGAAGGGTGTGTAGAAAAATTTGAATTCTCATATTGAATAAGAATTATAAAACCCTGCAAGTAAACCCTTTACTCTGTCAATTTTTTTTCAAAGCAACAAGAGTGTCTCTTTGCCAACGCCACGAGGATTTTAAATTCCAATTGGAGCAAATTTACTATGGCATATTTTATGACACGGGCATTTGGTACTAGGTTTTTTTTTTAGGATTCTCGAGAAATTAAATTTTTTTAAATTTTTAATTTTCAGATATTATCGTAAGCTAAATGTGAAAATCATATTTTCTGAAAATCGAGATTCCCAGACAAATTTTTTTTTCCTCTATCATGTATTTGCAATACCAAATGCAGATGATTTCAGGGTTGTGGGTTTCATGACAAGATATTTTTTATTTTTATTTTTTCACCTACTCATCCATTATTTGACTAATCTTGAAGAGCAAATCACTGAGTACAATACAAATGATATTTTTTACTCCTGCTTTTATTAGTAATTGGTTTCGGATCAGTTATTGACTCGCTCGAGGTATTAGATTAATAGGTCATCAGTTTACTCGTGTGTCACTGGATCAATTGCATAAATTAAATATATATAATAATATATAATAAATATATTATATAATAAATATAAGATTAGAAATACTTTAGCTAATAATTAGAGTTGGTTTAGTAACGAGTGTTATAAGTTATAATTCAGATGGTTTAGGTTTAAATATCATTAGTGCTATTTTTCAAATATTTTGTCCAAAATTTCACAAAATCAATTTTTTAGTTTAATATCGATTGAACTGGTTCAGGAGCAGTTTACCGATTTTATACCAGGTCAAATGCATGGCCACTCCAATACCTAGACAAAACTGATTGAGGATCTAATTTACAGGTCAACCGGTCAAATCGACTGGATCAGGTTGATTTTTATAACACGAATTGTTATCGCATCCAAACCTTGATTTTCTTCACTATTTATAAGCCATAGTAACTTTATGAATTTTGCTTTAACTACATAATATTCAAAAAAACATATAAATTTAAGGAAATAATCGTAGTGTTGGAATGTTTTCAATAAAATTAACTTCATAGATTATTGAAAACATTCATGCCTTAGTTTTAAAATTACAATGCGCAATGCACAACTCTTCATCTATATAACATTGATTCTTTTTATGTCATTTAGCTTGTAAATAGATGATGAATAGATCCATGACTTATGGCAGTTGGCTCCATCAACCATTTTTTATTATTAGCAAGCAAATGGCCAGTTTAAGTTTGTTTGAATGTGGTTAAGATCACATCCATAATTCTAATGTAAACCAATCCCGTGAACATCCACAGAGTGGATTCACGTGACACACCTAAAAGCAAGTGAAACAAACACAAAACAATATTCCAACAACACTCTAAACTCCACTATAAATTAACATTATTCAGGCAAAAGCAAAGAATGGTTAGATCTAGTTGTTTAGCAACCTGGTTAAAGAGAGTATGGCACAGTGGCTAGTAGCAGCATTGTTCATTGCCTTGTTGAGTGGTGTAAAAGCTTCTGTATTATGTGACATAGATTCAGCTAAGCTAGACTTATGCCATGCAGCAGTTACTGGGAAATACCCTCCAAAACCCAATGAACAATGCTGTGAAGTTGTTAGACATGCCAATTTGCCTTGCCTTTGTAGATACAAGTCTATTCTACCTGCACTTGGAATCAACCCCATAAATGCTTTGGCCTTGCCTAGTAGATGTGGTCTTAAAACACCACCTGAATGTAAAGGTAAATCTTCTTGAGCCTGAATATATGCCTTGAATGTAAATACAACTTAGATTTATATTTGACAAATAGTGTTTAATTTGTGGCCTCAATCTTCTTTATTTTGCAGTGATTTGAAGTCATTCTTGAGAATCACATATATTAAAAGCATCCTCTTTGTCTTAAGTTGCCTTCAAATGATGCATTGGTATTGGAGAAGCTTTTAAGTCAGCATTCTCAGCCCCACAAATAAATGAGTAGTTTATTTTTAATCTGTGCTTTCTCCCTATGTATCTGTAAGATCTATGATGTATCAGTTTCCTCTGTAGTAGATTTTACAAAGGTATTTGATGTACTACGATTCAAAGATATCTGTATGCATTTTCCTCCATGTTGACAATAATATCAAGACATATATCACTCCCCTCCCACTTCAATTTGCAATCTGTCTAATAAAATGCTTGTTTCTTATTTTCTCAATTCAATGCACAAAGCAATAAATGGATTAGGACAGAAGCATCTAAAAACACATTTTCAAGGCAATATAAATTGTATGAGATGCAGCTGCCATAATAAAATGTGACAATCAAAATAAGACACTATGCACAAATAATCCCACTTGCTCATGTAATTAACCCAATAAAAGTAGTATTAGTTAACTGGGAAATTTTCCATGGCATGCATTAACTCAAAACTCCACTCTTGCTAACTTGCAGCAACATTCATGACTTTAGGAAAATACACACTTCTTTAAATCTTCATGTAAGTTCACTCTCCTGTTCCAACTTGAGTATCCAAAACAGAAGCACCGAATTGGATTCAACTCATCTTCAAAATTGGATTCATATTGGTTATCATTTGTGTTCCAACTTTCAAGTGCATAACTGAGATATCCATGATTTGCTGTATTACTAGCACTGTGACTGGTTACCATGAGGTCCCCCAAATATAGGTCTCAAGTAAGCATCATCAAATCTCCTCCAATAGTAATGTATAGTGTACACTGGACTTTCTATTAACATGGACAAACTTTCCTTTGCACGTCTAATGTTGGTTTCAGCTGACTCCTCAAGGGATAGCAAAGGTAGATTCAAGTCCACAACTGATGGACCTGATTCTTCATGGCTGATGTTTTTCGTTGTTGCATTGTTAGGAAGCAGATATCTAATAAGTGGTTTTGTGAGAAAACCAAATACCTGCAATGAAATTGGTGCTATATCAATTATTTAAATGTTAGACCAAATTGTAAGAATGACCAAAGCTGGATGATAGCAGCTACTGGAAGACAATACAAGGATATTAATCTTTTATAGAACCTCATGAACTATTCTAAGTTGCTATTTGTTACTTCCAAGATATGAGAAATGTGTAAACTCACCAGTGTGCTAAAAAGGACAACAATGATAGTGTTGGTAATCATTGTCGCATTAATTGGATCAGAAGCAACCCCAGAAAATGTGAACTGCGCAAATAAAAAGTGGGGAATTCAGTAGTACCTCCTTCTTAAGGTACCCCAGTAATATTGATTGTTGCATAACTGTAGGAGGAATGTACAAACATGATCCAATGGTAAATTCTACAGGGTTGGCATAGAAATTTCCAACAAAAGATACTTGATTGAGAAACTATTTTCTAGAAGTATTTTGATTACTGTCATAATTTTTTAACAAAAATTCTTTCTAATTATAATGTCTAGAAATTTAAATATCATACATATACCTGTTTGAAAGCTAGAGCAATGGAGACTGCTCCCCTCATTAGTCCAGCCCACCAAATGATTATCTAGATGGTTCACCGAAATTAAGAAACCAATAAATAATTACGTAGTATATTCTCCATTAACAGTAACATCATGAGAATATCATATAAAACATGATTAGTAACCTGATGTTTGAATGTGATACATGATGTTTGGTCAGAGCGACTACTCATATAATTGGCGAAAGCAGAGAGAGGGAAAACAAAAGCAGCCCGCCCAAGCAATATCAATAAGATTAAGGTGCTGTAAATTCCCATCAAATTTCCAAAGCTGCAGTGAAGAAGAAGTAGACAAGAGAATCTTCATTAGAAGGAACAAAGGCTATTACACCAAGTTGATAATATCTTGCATTATATCACAAGTTATTCTTAAGAAGATTCCACTTGAAAAAGGGTATTCTAATATATTATAGAATTGTAAATAATCTGTACAAAGGGTTCTCTATTTATAGAGAATATTTGACCTAATTTTAACCTAATGGGTTTGGCCCAATACAACAAATAAATGACTAAATAATAACTAAATAATTATTATTTACAACACTCCCCCTCAAGCTGAGGAATAGATATTTATCATTCCCAGCTTGCTAGTAAGTTCTTGAAATCTGTCTGAAGGAAGCCCCTTTGTTAATAGATCAACTAATTGACGCCCAGTGGGAATGTATGGAGTGGTAAACAACCCGCTATCAAGTTTCTCTTTGATGAAATGGCGGTCAACCTCAATATGTTTAGTCCGATCATGTTGGACTGGATTATGAGCTATACAAATAGCGGACTTATTATCACATAGCAGCTTCATAGGTCCCTCACATTTTATTTTGAGATCATCAAGTACAATTTTCAGCCACAGTAACTCACAAATGCCTTGAGCCATAGCTCGAAATTCAGCTTCTGCACTTGATCTGGAAACCAAATCTTGTTTCTTACTTCTCCATGTCACCAAGTTACCGCAAAGAAACATGCAATAACCAGTGGTAGAACGACGGTCAGTCACGGATCCAGCATAATCAGCATCTGTGTAGACTTCTAAAGATAGATTGCCATCACGTCGGAATAACAATCCTTTACCAGGAGTACCTTTAAGATACTGAAGAATTCTCTCTACTGCCTGCATGTGTTTTTCTTTTGGATCGTGCATAAACTGACTGACAACACTAACAACATAAGCTAGGTCTGGTCTAGTATGGGCCAGATATATCAATTTCCCAACTGGCCGTTGATATTGTCCTTTATCAACTGGAGGACTCTCTTCTTCATAGCCCATCTTGTGATTCCGCTCAATAGGAGTATTAGAGGGTTTACACCCGAGCTTTCCTGCTTCTTTGAGAAGATCAAGAACATATTTCCTCTGGCTGATAAAAATTCCTTTGCTTTAATGAGCTACTTCTATCCCTAGGAAATATCTCAGTTTCCCAAGGTCTTTGATTTCAAACTCAGAGGCAAGCCGTGTTTGCAGAATCTGTCTCTCCACAAAATCATCACCTGTGATAATAATATCATCAACATATACAAGGAGCACAGTAAGCTTCCCATTTTGGGAGTGCTTGAAGAAAAGAGTGTGATCTCCTTGGCTCTGTCTGTATCCTAAGGTTATCATAACCTTAATAAATCTTCCAAACCAAGCACGAGGTGACTGCTTCAATCCATACAATGCCTCTTTTAATCTACAAACTTTATTTTTCCCCTTCACAGAATCAAAACCAGGCGGGATTTCCATGTAGACTTTTTCTTCTAACTCACCATTGAGGAAAGCATTTTTCACATCAAATTGATTTATATCCCAATTGTAATGGGCAGCAAGGGATAACAAGATTCTCACTGTATTCATCTTTGCAACTGGAGCAAAGGTTTCTTCATAATCAATGCCATAGGTTTGAGTGTAACCTTTGGCCACTAATCGAGCCTTATATCTCTCAAGAGTGCCATCAGAATTATATTTCAGGGCATAAACCCATCTGCACCCTACTGCTTTCTTTCCGTTGGGTCTATCAATAACCTCCCATGTTTTATTTTTCTCCAAAGCATTCATCTCCTCTTGCATGGCTTGATCCCAATTCCTATCTTTCAAGGCTTCATGTACTGATTTTGGGATTGCAATAGAATCTAGTGCTGAAACAAAGCTTTTGTGCTGCACAGAAAGATTAGCAGAGGAAACAAAGTGGGAGATAAGGTATTGAGTACAAGAGGAACAAGTTTTCTTGTGACAAGATCTTTTTCCTTTTCTAAGAGCAATAGGTAAGTCATCAGAAGTAGAAGCAATGGGTATGTCATTAGAGATATCAGAAGAAATAGACAAATCATGAGAGGAAATAATATTAGAATCAGAAACAGGAGATTCAGGAGACTCAGAAGAAATAGGAGATTCAGGACTTACCAGTGGTTCAGACGATTGAGGTTGCTGGTGAGACAGTATGGGTTGTATCTCAGGTGTATTTGAAGGTTCTGACCCACCAGGAGCAGACACACTAGGAAGAGAGAAGATTGATCCAGACTCAAAGAAGGAAGGGGACGAGTCTTCTGAAGAACTATTCTCCCCCTGACGATGAGGACCCAGGAAATAAGATTCAGATTCTTGAAAAGTGACATCCATAGAAACAAAACATTTCTGACTTGGTGGATGATAACACTTGTACCCTTTTTTATAAGGGTTATAACCAAGGAAGACACACTTAAGAGCCCTAGGATCCAACTTACTCCGATGTTGTTTATGAACATGGACAAAGGCAACACATCCAAACACTCTTGGTGGAAGGCTCTGCAATATGGGAACAGAAGGAAAGAAGGAAGTCATGGAATGAATAGGACTGATATTGTTAAGGACCCGTGAAGGTAAACGGTTGATCAAAAAAGTTGCAGCTAATACTGCTTCTCCCCAATAAGAACTAGGACCAGATGTCTGGAAAAGTAGTGCTCTAGCAACTTCAAGAAGGTGACGATTTTTCCTTTCAGCAACCCCGTTTTGTTGAGGGGTATCAACACATGTGAGCTCATGAATCATACCTCTGTCTGAAATGAATTGTGACAGGCATTGATTGACGTACTCAGTACCATTATCAGATCTGAGTCTTTTAATACCCTTACCAAACTGAGTCTCAACCATGTGATGAAACCGAATAAATATCTCTGGTACTTCAGACTTGTCTTTCATCAAGTATATCCATGTTATCCGAGTACAATCGTCAATAAAAGAAACAAACCACCTTGCACCTGAAACACTGTGCACTTTAGAAGGGCCCCAAACATCAGAATGGATAAGAGAAAAAGGTTCCCTGCTTTTAATAGTGCTAGAAGGAAATGACACTCGATGGTGTTTTGCAAATTCACAAACATCACAATGAAAGGTCTCAACCGACTTATTGAGAAACAGAGAGGGGAACATAGACTTCAAAAGACTAAATGGTGGATGCCCGAGACGCTTGTGATGGAGCCAAATCATAGACTCTGCAGTAGAAGGATGACGTGTCATTAATAACTGATTTTTGCTAGCATGGTCTGGAAGGAGATGATACAACCCATCCTGTTCATTAGCAACTCCAATTGTCTTCTTCGTGGTAAGATCCTGAATAAGACAATGAGAAGGAAAAAATGTGATAGAACAATTCAAATCAGTTGTAAGTTTTTGAGTGGAGATAAGATTAGTAGAAAGCTGAGGAACATAAAGAACATTTTTAAGAAACAAGGAAGGTTGAATTTGAATGTTACCAGAATCAATAACTGATTTATGGGATCCATCAGCTACAGATATAGTATGACTACCAACAGTAGGATGATAAGAACAAAACAACTCAGTACGACAAGCCATATGATCAGTTGCACCAGAATCCAAAATCCATGAGGTTTTAAAATCAGTGCAAGAAGCAAGAAGAGATATAGAACGTGTGCTCTTACCAGATAAGATCGAAGAACTATCATGCTCGGCCATTCTTTAACAAAAAAAGTTAACAACCAGCGATAAAATCAACCAAACAGAATATCAAATGACCTCTGATCAAAAAAATAATTACAAATCCAGACAGAAGACAAGAAGACGAGAAGAATGGTGGTGGTCCGGTCCAAACGGTGAAGACAGATCTGATTGGAGGCGGTCGGAGGTGTTTCGGTCGTTTGTGGCAGAGGAACAGTGCGTAGAATGATAGATCGGAGGAAAAATAAGGTCAACAATGGTCCCCTTGGTCCAAAAGGTCCCCAGAAAAATTTTCCGGTGGCGGCTGATGGTGGCAAGAGGCAAAGAAATTAGAGTTTTGTTAAAAAAGAAGATAATATGTGCGGAAGCAAAGCCCTCAGATCGAGAGCTCTGATACTAACTTGAAAAAGGGTATTCTAATATATTATAGAATTGTAAATAATCTGTACAAAGGGTTCTCTATTTATAGAGAATATTTGACCTAATTTTAACCTAATGGGTTTGGCCCAATACAACAAATAAATGACTAAATAATAACTAAATAATTATTATTTACAACAATTCCTTAAACATAGTTAAGTCTAATTCGCAGATAATGCAAATCTAAAGAACATAGTTAAACAAAAGAGAAAAATAAAATGACAGGTATTTAAGATCTTGTGTGTCATCTGAAAAAAAATTTAAGTAGAAGAATAGGAGGTAGCTAGCATGTAGTTTTGTGTATTAATCCAATTATTACTTACTGTTTCACTATCTGAAGCAGATCATACTTTATCATTAAATATGATGTTTTCTTGATCATAATCAATTTAGTTATGTCATAATCCTATAAATATGTTTGACATTGTTGAAACTGATGTTGAAGACACATTGACTTATCTATGTAGGTGGTGGCACTATGAAATCAGTAAACTTGTACATGTAAAATATCAGCATATGCGTTAGAAGTTAGAACATATATGTTAAGAACCTTGAGGTCACCACCCCAAAAATTAGCTCTAAGGGTGGGAGTGCCTAAGGCCTTATAAATCTCACATTAGTTGCTCATATAATCAATGTGGGACTATATTTCTCAACACGCTCCCTCACACGAGAGCCCACTGGGCTTAAAGGGTGGACAACATACAAGCCCACCTATACAAAGAAAGTGGGAGGCGGTGAGATTTCGAAAGCTCTGATACCATGTTAAGAACCTTGAGGTCACCACCCCAAAAGCTAGCTCTAAGGGTGGGAGTGCCCAAGGCCTTATAAACCTCACATTAGTTGCCCATACAACCAACGTGGGACTATATTTCTCAACAATATATAACGCGACATCAGTGTGTGATGCATTAGTCCCTAGAAAACTCTTAATAAAATATAACTGTTTAGAGCTATAGAAAGGATTAGCACCTTAGTTTGTTCATCTTCCACTTTTCAATGTCTAGGGCATCCATGCCCACATAAAGAAATATGAAGGTTTCTGCAATAAATGACATTGTTGCAAACACATGCCTGGAGAAGAGAAACCAAATCAGAAATCTCAGGCTTGAGTTTGGAAAGTACTGAAATCTTCAATGGATTAATCAATACCTGGTTGTGATTCTTGAAGTTTCAGTCACATTATGCCATGCATAATGTGACATTAGTATTCCACAAAAGAAAACAGTGAGTATTCCACTAAGTTCGAGTAGCTGCATAAGACATTTGAGTTAAGATGGATTAAAAAAAAACTTGTTACTCCTACTTTAGTTCATCTGCAGACAAAAATAGTTTGTCATAAAATCTTTATAATATGCTACAATGTTACAAGTCCCCTGCTTGCACCCCTCCCTCCCCTCTCAAAGATAGTGTGAGAGATAGAAAATTAAAAAAAATAAAGAATGAAGAGGAAAGTATAAGAAAACTTAATAAAGTCCAAATCTCCAAACTTAGCTACCAACATTTTAACTGAACCCAAATCCATTTAGTTCTAGCCTTGCAACTAATGCCAAATCAATAGTAGACAAAATATGTGAGCTTCCAATACCTCTGACAACGTATAGGATAAGTATGCCATTAAGATCATCAATGCAATTTCACGAACACTTGAATGTCTGCAGGCATATGCACAGGAAAATTTATTAACGTAAGCACAAAATTTCGCCTCCTTTAACTCTTGAATCTGGAATGCAATTATTAAAGATATACCAACTTCAGACCATGATGAAAATACCATTTTGGAGAATTTTAGAGAATAATACATACTTTCCAATGCTCAAAGCTCTCAAGATATATGCTGTGAGAAGTCCAGCCTGCATAAATATGCATTTATTTATTTATTTAAAGAAATGACAGGAAAGGAAAAACAAGATGGTCTATCCAGTCCTTTGCACTAATAACAATGTTTAAAAGTTAGTTTGAAATTAAGACATACATTTTCAAACCACCTTGCTTTTACTTTATTCTTCTACCTTTCTACGAATCCCAATAAGAGACTTTGGACTTTGGATTCTTTTGGAGCATTTTCTTGCAAATTCCTTCTTCAGTTTCATACTTATTTCTCCAACCTCCACAATTCCCAGTTTGACAACCCTTTTAGAAATCCAATGATCTTCTTAAAGTCATTTCTTTTGATGGTGCTTAACAGGTTACACAAAAATGGCTTGTTACAGACTCAGGATTCTCAGTCTCAGGCCATATCCCCTAACATGTGAGTTATGTGCAAGTCAAGCTTGGAAACAGCTTGCAACACTTTTTATTGCATGGTGAGGGTAAACCATTTCAGATTTTAGGTGTTTCATTCTGCCTTTAGCAGTTTTTTGGTTCGCTTCAAAGATTTCGGTGAAAACAAGGAGACCAAGAATTCTGTGGCAGTGTGCAATTTTGCAAGTTTTGGTGCATTTGGTTGGAAAAGAACACACATATCTTTAAAGGAGCCTCCTTGCCACTAAATCTGCATTGTGATGAAAGGATTATGCTCTTAGCTTTTCGCTGGTGTTGTACCAATGGATGCTTCTTGGGGTCTGCCATATATGGTACTTGGAGAGATTAGTAGCCTTGGTGAAATCTTAGTTTCTTCATGTTTTTCTCTATTTGTTTTTGGTCTTATGTTTTGGAGTATACCGTATCAGCATCCGCATTGTACTTTTCTTATCTTTTCTCTAATAAAATTTCTCTTTTTGTCAGAAAGAAACTTTCAAAATTGATATTATTCCATTTAAGCAACTGAATTCCATAATAAAAACCCAAGTTGAAAATGCAAATTATGTTTTGAACCAAATGTGAATTCCCAGGGACAAACTACGAGAGAGGCAAGATATAATAGCCCTAACCTAATTAATTAGTAAATTACATGTAATTAAATAATTAAGCATGTTTTAGTGAGTAAAATTAAGTATAAGTCTTAATTAAGTGAGATGGGGTCAATTCTGAGTTAAAAAGTGTACTCAGTAAAAATTAAGGGAAATAAATGGGTACAGCCAAAAGTGCCCAAAATATAAAAATAAAAATAAAAATATTCCTAGAATAATATTCTAGACTTTTGGGTGAAGTGTGGTAATTATTGGAGTTAAATAGATAGATGGACTAATACCCATTTGATTCCACTTAACCTATGTTAAGTCATAAAACACAAAAAGGAACCCATTTCCCACCCCTTGCCCGTCGAACAGCCAGAGAAAGGAAGGAAGAAGAAGAAAACGAAGAAGAAGAGAGGGAGAGGGAGAGAGAACCCGAGCAAATCTTAACCGATTGGAGTGATTCAAAAGCCTAAACCACCTAGAATCTTCTCCTCTTTCATAATCCTAGCTTGGTTTTGAGTGGGAGTCCTTGTGGAGAGAGATATTGGCCCCCAAAGATTCGCCCCTTTTGAGAAGTGTGGGGTTTTGGGAGTTTCTACCTTCATGGAAGCTTGATGAACGCTCATTCCTCTATTGTGTGATCATTGGTGGTAAGTTTCCACTCTCTTTCACATGATTCTTGGAGATTTGCATGAGTTTAGGGTTTATGAATAGTGAATTGGGGTTTTTTATAAATTGTGATTAAATTAGCTATGTTCTAGGAAAAATGGAGCTTAGTGTATGTTATGAAAAATGCTAAGAATGACATTTAATCGGTGAAAATGAGTTTAGATAGTTATATGACTATACTTTGAAAATTGCAAGATTAAATGCTTGTTGATGAGTATTCTCGCAATGTTGAGTTATGGTGTGGTTGATTGGTTATTGATTGTGCCTATATGGTGGTTAGGATCGAGGCAATCGGACAAACCGTGATAGACCAACCATTGGAGCAAGGAATGAAGTTGGATTAGCTCCTTGAACTAGGTAAGTTCATACCTTGTGGTTGATGACTTGTATAAGTAGTTGATAGTAATGAAGTATTATTGATGCAATGTGTTGAATTGCATTACACCTTGATGTAGGTGTGTGCTGTGTAAACCATAGCTTGAAACCAAAGTTGATTGATTGTGGAACCTGTTGGTGGGAACAAAGGTTGACTAAAGCTTGAGGTAAGCCTTTGGACCTTGGGTGTAATTCCCTTTATTGTTCCACCAAGCCCTGAAAGGGTAGTGATTGTTGATAGTGTATATAAATGTAATGAAATAGTGTAATGCTTTGTTATACGTATGTGTATGCATTTGGTGTGGCATAGGATGGTGTTTCCCTATGTTGGTATGTTGCATGACGATGCGTAAATCATACTTGCCAGTAGGACTATTTGCATCTGAGTTTCCTTAGGACAGCTTGAGAGCTCGAGGGATTTCTCCTGGAGATGTTATTGCACTTTGCATGGATATGTATTTACTGCATTATTATTGTTATTGCTATTACACTAATATGGAACTGTGGGGTGGAGAGATGCTCCAAGGACCCCTGGTTTACTGAATATATTCGTATATCTTACCCTGTGTTATGGGGACCTCCTTTCAGGTAAGGATGCTGCAGGAGCCACCAGTGACAAGTGGCCATACTTGGATTAGTAGTGATGCATGAGGATCTTGTATTTTGATATTATACATGTTATTTTGTAGCTCACATGTATAGGATTGTAGTTAATAGACAATTAATAGATGTATTTTCTGTTTATTTGGAATGGACTTAGCCTATGCTCATGCCTTTGGATATCTCTTTGTTGATGGGAGCCAAGGGAGTGATCATAGCGTTTTGTAAGCTAAGTTCCATGAATTGTAATGAACATGATTTGTAATTGATGAGTACTTTAAGTTTATTATATGTATGTTCATTAAGTATTGGATTGTTGAACTGGAAACTAAATTAGGTACCTAGTGCTAAATTGGGAAATGTTGAGAAAACAAAGACATCATGTCCGGTTGACCAATTTTCATACCCAATGTGATGGAATTGGACTTTGATGTCTCTATGGAAGTTGTAGACATTTCTCTTAGCTTTCCATAGAGACCAAAATGATGTAATTTGAGTGAGTATAGCTCAAGTTATGAGTGGAAAACCATAGGTAGGTTAAATGACCTTGTTTTGGGTCACCCAGACCTGTGGATGGCGCCTAGGGCGCCAGATTCACGCTTGGTATAATACCCCAAACTTAAGCATTTAATTGATTAATTTTAATTAAATAATTAAGCATGTTTTAGTGACTAAAATTAAGTATAAGGCTTAATTAATGAATCTGGGTCACTTGGAGTTAAAAAGTGTACTCAGTGAAAATTAAGGGGTATAAATGGGTACTGGTGAAAGTGCCCAAAATATAAAAATAAAAGTGGAAATATTCCTAGAATAATATTCCAGACTTTTGGGTAAAGTTTGGTAACTAATGGAGTTGAATAGATAGATGAACCAATACCCACATAAGCCACTTAACTAGTAAGTGACTTAAAAACACAAACAGAAGCCCCATTCTCCCCCATTTTCCCGTCGTGCTCCAGAGAAGAAAAAAAGAAGGGAAAGAAGAGAGGAAAGAAGAGAGAAGGAAGAGAGAAAGGGAGAAATGGAGAAATCCAAAGAACCATCATCCCTCAACCAAATTGGATGATTCCAAAGCCTAAACCACTCTAAATCTTCTCCTCTTTCATAATCCAAGCTTAGTTTTGAGTGGGGAGCATTGTGGAGAGGGATATTGCCCCTCAAAAATTCGGCCCTTTGTGAGATTTTGGGGTTTTGGGGGTTTCAACCTCCATTGAAGCTTGAGGAGCCATCAATCCTTGGTTGTGTGACCATTGGTGGTAAGATTCTAACCCTTGAACCTTGTTTTCTTGGAAAATTTCATGGTTAGGGTTTAATGAATAGTGTTTTAGGGTTTTTATGAAATGTTGAGTAGATTGGCTATGTTCAAGGAAAAATGAGGCTTAGAGTATGTTGTGAAAAATGCTAGGAATGACATTTAATCGGTAGAAATGAGTTTATAGTGTTATTTTAGTATGCTTTGATGTTTGGAGAAATCTAGGCTTGGAACTATGGATTTCCTTGCATTGTTAGCATTGTTTGATTGTATTCCTTGTGTTGATAGGATTGAGGCAAGAGGACCAAGTGGAGTGACCAACCCTTGGGGTTGTGTGCAATTGAGGAAAGCTCAAAGAGCAAGGTAAACCTTTGGACCTTGTGGTTGATCCCATTGAGTGTTCCACCATACTCCGTTGAGGAGAAATGGTTTATGAGATGTGATATGTAATTATGATAGTGATTGTATGCTCATGCATTGATTCATGCATTGATACATGTTATGATTGATTGATGATTATTGGTTGATGTTTGATTGTTTAAGAGTAATTGAGGAATGATTATAGAAGTAGCAATAATGAATGAGGTAATGGTTGAGGATTGTGATTGAGGTTATGAGTGATAGTATTATGATGAGGATGATTGGTAGGAACTTCCCTTGGAAACAGCCCTATGTGGATCTCCATGTGGTTAGAGCCTAAGAGGAACAGCCCTATGTGGATCCCTCTTGGAGGTTCCTAGATTGAGGAAAGGACTTCCCTTGGAAACAGCCCTATGTGGATCTCCATGTGGTTAGAGCCTAAGAGGAACAGCCCATGTGGATCCCTCTTGGAGGTTCCTAGATTGAGGAAAGGACTTCCCTTCTATGTGGATCTCCATGTGGTTAGAGCCTAAGAGGAACATATGTGGATTGAGGTTCCTAGATTGAGGAAAGGACTTCCCTTGGAAACAGCCCTATGTGGATCTCCATGTGGTAAGAGCCTAAGAGAAACAGCCCTTAGTGGATCTCTCTTGGAAGTCCATGTGATGCTTGCTGATAAGAATGTGTTAAGCTATTATGATTATGTGTACATCAAAGTGAACCTTAGGGTGGAGTGATCTCCAAGGACCTCTGGTTTACTGTGATATATTCGTATATCTCACCCCGTGTTGTGGGGCATCATTTCAGGTACTGATAGAGGTGAGGTTGATCGAGGCAAGAAGCTTGAGTAGACTGTACCTGATAGCTGGACATGTTGAGTTGCATGCCATTTAGCATTGCTATATGTATATTTTGATGCCACATGATGTATTTTGGAGGACTTAGTGCATGATCATTGTAGTAGTAATGGGTATCTGATACATGGTTACTTGCTTTGATCATGTTCATTTTGTAGCTAAGTCCTTTGGCATGTATATGAGATTTGTAATTAAGACATGATGTAATATTGTAAGTAATGAAGATATTTGTGTATGATGATTACTGTAAGTTAAATGCATGAATGTATTTTTATGTATTGGATATGTTGAGCTGGAAAGTCAATTAGGTACCTTGTGCTAAGTTGGGAAACGTTGAGAAAACAAAGGTTATGCTGCCCAATTTCTGTTAAATCAATGATGAGAGGATGAGAGTTAAGCAATGATATAGGGATATCACAAGCTTGTTAAATAGGTTGTAAAATGTGTAGGATTGATTCCCCAAGAAAGATGCATGAAAAATATGAGTATAGGAAATTGCCCAGAAGAGGGGGCTTAAGCCTGCAAATGGAGGCTTAAGCCTGCTCAGGGGGCTTAAGCGCCCATGAGGGGGCTTAAGCGCCCTGATGCACCTGTGAAGACCAAAAGCTTTCTGCCGCCTGGGGCTTTAGCGCCCAAAATGGGGGCTTTAGCGCCCAAAATGGGGGCTTAAGCGCCCAGGTAGCGCGCTTAAGCTCCCTGGAGCGAGCTTAAGCGCCCTTGGTGGCTAAAAAATGTAAATTCCCTCTGTCTGTGGGCGCTTAAGCGCCCTGGAGCGAGCTTAAGCGCCCTACCCGCGTAATTTTTCAGCATGCACCTGAGTTAGTAAAATTGTCATAACTTGAGCTACAGAGCTCCAAATGAGGAGCGGTTTGAAACCACGCGTAGCTAACGAAGAGATCTACAATATAGTAGAAGTTGGGAAATAAATAAGAAGAAAATTAATGGTTTAAAAATGGAATAAGAACATGATGTTAAGCTTGGTTTATCTGATTCCGCAAGGTAATATGGTTATGATCACGCAATTGGCTATTTTAAATTCGGCGTCGTTTTAAAAAGAAAAACTTATCTGGATTTTAATTGAGCCAATGTGATTGTAACTGCGCTTAATATCATAATGCGATGTTAACAAACCGGTTCTAGAACGGGGTGTTACACTTGGGGCGCCAAATTACGGAACCAGACAGTAGCATCCACGCTGAGGGCGCCACTCCCACGCTGGGGGCGCCAACTTTCTGTTTTCCCACGCTCTGGGCGTGGATCCCACGCTACGGGCGCGGGGTCCTGGAGATTTTGCACCCCTTTTCTTAGAAAATGCATAACTTTGGCTACGGTGCTCCGATTTGAGCGCGGTTTGAACCCACGCGTAGCTAATGAAAAATCCTATAACATAGTAGAAGATGGGAATCATAAAAGGAGTTTAGAATTAATTTGATAATTAAAGAGATGAAGACATTTAACGACGTATTGTCAAGTAGAATGGGAATATAATATTAAGTTTAGTCCCACTATTCCGCGAAGCATATATAGTTATGATCACGAACTTGGTTATTTAAATCCGGCTTGTTTAAAAAGGAAAAATTTATCCGGTTTTTTAATTGAACCAATGTGATTGTAACTGCGCTTAATGTCGTACGCAATGATAACAATCCGGTTCTAGAACAGGGTGTTACACAAGACAAAAACTTTGTAATGTTCCTCCATGTGACAGGTAGGTAATATAGCTAGATGCATGTGAAAGTAAACACCATCAACTAACTAGAGAATTTATAGAAAGCCATGACGTCATCTAAACACATGAAAAAGTTATTGGATCAATTTTGCACACAATTTTCACAATTATGAAACTCACTATGACTCCGAGACCAGTGCTTGCTGTGAATAGATACAAGAAATCTCCAATAACCCGGAGTGCATTACTGCCACTAAGTCTTGAAACATCAAGCTTTTGCACTGCATTGAAAAGAACAACTGATGTTGCATCATTTACAACTCCTTCCCCAAAGACTAGGCTGTACAGTAAAGGAGTTTCATCTTGATGGAGAACCTACAACAGATTCCAGATGCAGTGTTGACAATAAGAGCATGTGGACATAATTACATGAAAGAAAAACCATTTACCAATCTAACCAACCTGCAATGTACAAACTGTGTCTGTTGATGAGAAAATTGCTCCTATAGCTGAATTAAATAAAATAAGCTAATTATCATCCAAATATGATATATATGGATTGTGGGAAATGATCAACTTACACCAATATTGTAAGGCTAAAAAATCTTGCGTTCTTCATTTCAAGCAATATGAACTTTTATGTGTAAGAGTTCTTAGACTTACATCAGTATAAGTTAATCCCTCTCTAAGAATTATTGATTATTTTAAATATAGTAGTCATTTTGTGTAATATTGAGATAATGCAATGATCTCACCAAGGTAATCTCGCGCATTCAGACAAAGGAAGTTCAACTTGGGGAACAACCACCAGCTGCCTAGGTGAACCAAATGCAAAGACTTAAGGTGAACTCAAAGTAAATTTCCATAGTGATAGTGCTATAAATTTCATAGAAAAGGAAAGCTGAGAGATTAATCATTACCGCTAGTAATAACAGATGCTGAAATAAAAACACCAATCACCCCATACAGCATGATGGTTAAAAAGTTATGGAAGAACTGTTTCTTCTTCACCTGAAATCTGTTAGGAGGGATAACTTAACATTAAAAATTATTGGAACCACAAGAGCTGCTTCATGTTTAACACAAGACAGAAACTTTTACCCAGCATTGAATATAATGGGAGGAAGGAGATATATGAAGAATAGTTCTTCATTAAAGGTAAGGATGTGAGAACTCTTCCCCTTGGTGATTAATAAGAGTACCAGTCCAGCAATGCATCCCTACCAAGGAATATGTTAGAGGAACTAATAATATCAATTTAAGTCCAGGCCTAAAGATGAAGGGTATAAAATTATTCATAAAAAAATTTATTAGTATTGGACGGTTGTTTGAAAATAATAACTCAATTGCAACTTGCAAGGAAGGGGAGAAAATAAGAGAAAAAGAACTCTTTCTAGTTAGAACTATTTCTGAAAAGCCAAAATGTACATAGAAACTCAAAGTGCTGATGGCCTTCATGCTTGAAGAGGGACTTCTTCATCACCAATATGTTACTTCAGCATCATCATATACAATTGATTAAAATTCCTAATTCTTTATAAATCAGCCACAAATGCAATTAAAATAAACCACAGTAATACTCAAAAACAGTTCCTCACTTGAACAGACCCCATTTTTCATTATTTTCTTATTGACATCTCAAATATTGACTTGTTTGAAGTTTAATTTATATACATTCATTTGATTACTAAGCCATTTCCTTGACATGCAAATCTTGGTATATTTGAAAGAAATGAGAAAAGAAACCAATCACAAGGCCTGAAACTCATCTTAATTTCCACCCTCACTTACCCAAGTAACTGTTTTGCCATGAAATCATGTGGTATAAATCAATGAAATCACATAAGCTAAGTTTTCAACCATTCATGCTATTTTTATCTAACAAGAAGATAGTAAATGCATAACACAAACAAGAGTTATTTCTGATGGATTTTTGCAAAGAAAAAAAGATTCAAATAGAGAGAGGTTGTGGCTTACAACTAGAATGGCAACAATGGATTCATTAACCCATCGATTTTCTTCAAGCAAGTGACCAATGACCAAGCAGAGACAAAGAACAGCCACGAAAAGTGATATAGGCACAACCTGTTGGTGGTCGTGAGCCACATTCCACACCACCTCAGGTATCATATCAAATGGCACCGTTACCATTATTTTCTATTTAATTAAGTTCTAACAGTTACAGTACTAACACCACCTTTGTAATTTTTATAGCTAAAAAGCTAACTCTCCGTGATGAAAATCAAACATAAACACAGAGGTTGTTGTTATTCAAATGTTCTGAATTTGAGTGCACTGAAAGAGTCAAAAACAGAAACTAGCATGCCACGGATATAGGCAATGTAGCGGTAACAGCATGGAATGGCACATACTAGACACTGCATGCAAAGGTAACGTGTCACTATCACAAGTCACAATCAACATAAGATCCTATCACACTGACACAATTAAGATTTAACCAATAATTCTGAAGAATGTTCTGTAAAACAAAAACATATCTTCTGATAAATTCTAGTTGATAAGCATATATATATGTATGACAGCTTTGTTTTATGATAAATATGCGATGATATTTTGGCATAAAGGGCACATTCGTAAATATGTAAAGATTAAGTTTTATTTAAGAATTGTCCTATTTTATGTTTTATTAATCGATATTTAATAAGGAGTGGTTTATACTTATAAGTATATATAGGTTGATATTTACTCATTTCGCACTTTTTTCCCCTTTGTTATTTAAATTTTGTATTTTTTGATAAAATACTTTGAGATTTTAAAAATAAGTTTAAATGGAAAAGCATTTTTTTTATGGCAGAGCATGGTCAAATTAAGTTACTAGACTTGGTATATCATATATATCAACTATTCGCAATCTTATTTATAAAATAAATCTTAGATTTGGCAGAAACTAATTAGAAAAATATTGTTGTGATTTATATATATAGATATTTTCAATTTTTTTTTTTTTTTTTTTTTTTTTTAACGGGGTGGATGAAAAGAAACTACAAAACAACTAGTGTTGCATGGCACAGATGACTGGATCCAGAAAAAGAAGGAATAAGTCAAAAAGGATGTGATCCTTTTTTTTTTTTTGGTAAACAAGAATGTGATCCTTTCTTAAATGCATTGACAAGGCCCAGGGCGTTAATATATTTTTTTTCTTTCTCTCAAATATATGAAGTCTAACATTTAATGTACAAAATTTATGAACTAAACTGTAACTAAAGTGATTTGGATAATAGGATGGGTGATTGTCCTTCAAAGTCATATAAACTTTCGTCTTAAACTAAAAGAGAAGTAATTTAACATTAATTTGTTCTCTTCTAACGTACTCTTTCAAAAAATTTTTATTTCTCATGCCTAAAGAAAATTTGGAGATTTTTTAAATTTATAATCATGTATTGACTTTAACTACTTAAAAAATTATTTTGTTATATTATATTGCTTTTGATATACATTAATTGTTGATATGACTCATACTTTATAATTAGATAACAATAATGTGAAGTTTGGTATTTGTTCACCAAAAAAATAAATAAAAAAATCGGTTTTATTGTGGGATTTCAGTTTATTTTATTTTATTTCTCTTTTTAGTAATTTGAGTTTAAGCTTATGAATAATTGTTATTGTTTAGGATTTTTCTTTTTTGGATAAATTATAAATATCCTGCATGAGAGATATTTTTGTTCGAGACAAATCAAGAATTAAAATTTTAAATTCCTTACAAGGATGATTATAATACCCCAAACTTAAGTATTTAATTAATTAATTTTAATTAAGTAATTAAGCCTGTATTAGTGAGTAAAATTAAGTATAAGACTTAATTAAACGAATTGGAGTCACTTTGGAGGTAAAAAGTGTACTCAGTGAAAGTTAAGGGGTATAAATAGGTACTGGAAAAAGTGTCCAAAATATAAAAATAAAAATATTAATACTCCTAGAATAATATTCCAGACTTTTGGGTAAAGTTTGGTAATTAATGGAGTTGAATAGATAGACGAACCAATACCCACATAAGCCACTTAACTAAGTTAAGTGACTTAAAAGCCAAAAAGAACCCCTACCCCGTTCATTCCCCACAACACCCTGCACCAGGGAAGAAGAAAAGAAAGAAAAAGAGAGAGAAGGAGGAAGGAGGGAAGGAGAAGGGAGGAAGAGGGTGAGAGGGCGATTCTCCACCGATCGGAGTGATTCCAAAGCCTAGACCACTCAAAATCTTCCCCTCTTCCATAATCCTAGTTTAGTTTTGAGTGAGGGTTATTGTGGAGAGAGATATTCTCCTTCAAAAATTCGAACCCTAGGTGAAATTGAGGAGATTGATGGCTCCTACCTCCATGGGAGCTTGGGAGGCTTCTATTGCATGGTTGTGTGACCTATTGTGGTAAGTTTCCACTTCTCCAACCTTGTATTCATGGAAGTTTCTTGAGGTTGATGATGATGAAAAGTGTATTTTGGGGTTTTATGAGTTTGAGTGTGATGGAGGCTTGGTGTCTTTGAAAATGTTGTTAGTGATGATAAATAAACGGTGAAAATGAGTTTAGATTGTCATTTGAGTAAATTATGCTTGAGATTAAGGATGCTCTTAAATGTTAAGATATTATTAGCATCAATTGATTGTATTCCTTGTGTTGATAGGATTGAGGCAAGAAGACCAAGTAGAGTGACCAACCTTTGTGGTTGTGTGCAATTGAGGAAAGCTCAAGAGCAAGGTAAATCTTTGGACCTTGTGGTTGATCCCATTGAGTGTTCCACCATACTCCATGGAGGAGAAATGGTTTATGAGATGTGATATGTAATTATGATAGTAATTGTATGCTCATGCATTAATTCATGCATTGATACATGTTATAATTGATTGATGATTATTGGTTGATGTTTGATTTAAGAGTAATTGAGGAATGGTTATAAAAGTAGCAATTATGAATGAGGTAATGGTTGAGGATTGTGATTGAGGTTGTGAGTGATAGTATTATGATGAGGATGATTGGTAGGAACTTCCCTTGGAAACAGCCCTATGTGGATCTCCATGTGGTTAGAGCCTAAGAAGAACAACCCTATGTGGATCCCTCTTGGAGGTTCCTAGATTGAGGAAAGGACTTCCCTTGGAAACAGCCCTAGGTGGATCTCCATGTGGTAAGAGCCTAAGAGAAACAGCCCTTTGAGGATCTCTCTTGGAATAGATTGAGGAAAGGACTTCCCTTAGAAACAGCCCTATGTGGATCTCCATGTGGTAAGAGCCTAAGAGAAACAGCCCTTAGTGGATCTCTCTTGGAAGTCCATGTGATGCTTGCTGATAAGAATGTGTTAAACTATTATGATTATGTGTACATCGAAAGTGAACCTTAGGGTGGAGTGATCTCCAAGGACCTCTGGTTTACTGTGATATATTCGTATATCTCACCCCGTGTTATGGGGACCCCCTTTCAGGTAAGGAAGCTGCAGGAGCCTCTGATGGCAAGTGGCCTTATTTGCAGTAGATCATGCATGAAGAAAATGATGTTTTGAGATCATACATGTTATTTTGTAGATTTACATGTATAAGATTGATTATTGATAGCATTGACGTATGTATATCTCGTTATATTTGATGGACTTAGCCTATGATCATGCCTTTGGATATCTCTTTTGTTGATGAGAGCCAAGGGATGGTCATAGCCTTTTGTAGCTAAGTTTCCCGTTATGTAATTAAACTTGTGTAATGTTATTTACTTCAAGGTTATGAACGCATGATGAATATTGGAAATGTTGAGCTGAATTTTCTATTAGGAGCTAAGCTGTTAGATTGGGAAACGTTGAGAAAACAAAGGTTATGCTGCCCAATTTCCGTTAAATCAATTTTGGAGAGGAATTTATATGATAGATTTGGACCGTGGTGTATGTATGGAAGTTGTAGATATTTTTCTTAGATTTCCATAGAGACCAATGTTGTGTGAATTGGACAAGTACAACTCTAGTTAGAGGTAAAATACTAAGAATTGGTGAAACCTTCAGAGCTTTGGCGCACCTGGCGCCAAACTTGGCGCACCGCGCGCCATAGTGCTTGGAAGCTTCTGTTTCGTAGCGCAAATCGCGCCGTCGTTGGCGCAAAACGTGCCGGGATCACCAGCTGGCGCACCTGGCGCCTCCAGCGCCATATGGATCGAGAGCATCTGTTTCGTTGGCGCCTGCCGCGCCACATCTGGCGCCGGTCGCGCCGGGATCAGCAGGATTCACGCGCTCGTTTCGTAGAAAACCCATAACTTGGGCTACAGTGCTCCGATTTGAGCGCGGTTTGAACCCACGCGAAGCTAACGAAGAGATCTACAATATAGTAGAAGTTGTGAAATAAATAAGAAGTAAATTAATGGTTTAAAAATGGAATAAGAACATGATCTTAAGCTTGGTTTATCTGATTCCGCAAGGTAATATGGTTATGATCACGCAATTGGGTATTATAAGTTCGGTATGTTTTAAAAATTGAAAAATTTATCCGAATTTTTAATTGAGCCAATGTGATTGTAACTGCGCTTAATATCATAATGCGATGTTAACAAACCGGTTCTAGAACGGGGTGTTACAATGATAGTGGAAAGAATCAAATAAATATTCTCATCTCTATGTGCTCAGCTTCCATTCCCTAACTAAACTATTATCATTTCATATTACTTAGAATTTCTAAGCCTAATTATATATATTCCACATGTAACCAAGTGCTATAAAGAATGGGGTGAGAAGAATATTATAAATATTGATGCCGTAGCTCATATTGGGTAAATCCATATAAATTTCATGTTTCCGTTTTCTTTCGTTCTCTCTTTGCCATTTTGCAATCGCGTGTCGTATACCGTCCCAACATCAATCACAATCTTATAATCACTCATAAGATGATTATTTCATTAAATATTGCATCGTAATTGTTAACAAAATTTGCAAATTTGACTTGACCAATTCTTGCATAAGTTGCCCCATTATTTATAAGAGATTGTCCAAGTGAAGCAAATGTGCGGGCAACGTGGTCGAATTTTTTTTTTTTTTTGAAATATTACAAACGTGCCTCAAGAATACAACCATCGTTGACTTTTAAATCATATAAACAGACGTGGCTCAAGAATACATTTACCATAACGACACGTTTTGTGACTAAAAAAATCATATTCCAATCAAATTTTGTCAAAATATCAAGTTACATTCTCACTACGTCATTCAACGAGAATGGATTAGACACGTGACAACGTCTAAATGGTTAGCCATTCTCGCTGAGCAGTCCAGCGAGAATGACAAGGTACTGGCACATGACAAAAGTACAGTCATTCTCGTTGGGCAGCTCAGCGAGATTAACCACCTGAACAGCTTTTGCAGAGAATACCTGTACTTTTGCCACGTGTCAGCACCTTGCCATTCTCGCTGGGCTGCTCAACAAAAATGGTTGCCCAACGTTGCCACGTGTCCAGTCAATTCTCGCTGGGAGGCGTAGCGAGAATGTAACATGGCATTTTAGCAAAAAAATTTCCTAGCGGCAATCCGACAAATTTTTGCCTAAAAGATAGCAAAATGGTCATTGTCCCTTATATAGCATATCCAAAAGCATTTCACTTATATATAAATATATATATATATATATATATATATATATATATATATATATATATGACTAAACTAATCTCATGTTGAAAGAGATAATTTCTCTTATGTGGGTGATATAAAATTAAGGTGGGTTCTATTTTAATTTTTTTTATTTTTAATGGGACCTATATTAAATTTATCTCATAACATGAGAAATACTCTTTCACGTAACATGAGATTAGTTTAACCTATATACATATATATATATATATATATATATATATATATATGTATATATATATATATATAGGGGCAGGATATTCTTACACTGGTGTAAGAGTTAGAAGTCTTACACTCAATCTTGACCATTGATCCACTTGTATCCAATGGCTCACATTACTAAAAAATTTGAGCCCTTAGATATAAATGGGATCAGTGGACATGATTAAGAGTGTAACTTACACTGGTGTAAAATGATCCTAACCCATATATATATATATATATATATATATATATATATATATATATGGGGTAAACATTTCTGCAGCCACTTTAGATAAGGTTACCTACAGCTACCATTTTTTACTATGTTTTCTCGGGAGAACATAGTTATAACAGTAAAATTGCTTTTTTTTTTTTCTCCTCAGTTACTTTTCAGAACCTGTTTGCTGACGTGGAGAAAGAGAAAAAAACAATTTTAATGTTATAACTATATAGTTAAAAATGGTGGCTGTAGATAACCTTATCTAAAGTGGCTGTAGAAATACTTTTCCCTATATATATATATATATATATATATATATATATATATATATATATATATATAGGGTTTGCTTTTTCTGCAGTTACTGCGGATAAGTTATCTGCAGTAAGTCAATACGACGTCGTTTTGGGACGGAAATCATGGTGTTTTTGTAATTTTAATTTATTTCAGGGTTATGATAGTCTTTATATTTATAATTTATTAAGATTTCAATCCCAAAACGACGTCGTTTTGGGAATAAATGCAGATAACTTATCTGCATTAACTGCAGAAATATTTTTCCCATATATATATATATATATGTTCACTGAAACAACGTCATTTTGGGGTTAAAAAATTAAAATGATAAAGACTATTATAACCCTGAAATAAATTAAAATTACAAACACAAACCATAATTTTTCGCTCCAAAACTATGTCGTTTCGATGAACATTAGACAAAGTTATCTAATGGAACTCTAGAAAAAATGAAATATATATATATATATATATATATATATATATATATATATATATAAATATATATTCATGTGTGTGTGTGTGGCAATATTTTTTGTCATGTGACGGGATATAAGGTGTTTCCAGTCACCCTCTTATAACTATATACTTTGGAGAATACATAGTTATAATACTCGCGGAGTACATAATTATAAAGGATGACTCAACAAAATCTTATATCCAGTGGAACCCTATATATATATATATACACACACACACACACATGCATTACTTTTCTCCGGCAAATAAATTTGGGGAATCATAATCATATATAGGTGTGTGAAAGCATTAAATGCGCGGAATTATATCAAATTAACGGTGTAAGATTTATTGTTGGACGTCCAGCAGCCGGAGAAATGATTTTACCCATATATATAGGGTTTATTGTTTGTCCAATCACAAGATATACGATTTTGTCTGTCACCCCTTATACCTATGTACTTTGGGTAGTACATAGTTAAAATATTAAAGTTATTTTTTTTCTTCAGAAACTTGTGGCCTGACGTGGAGAGAAAGAAAAAAGCAACTTTAATATATAACTATGTATTCTATGGAGTGCATATAAGGGGTAACAAGACAAAATCTTATATCTTATGACAGCACACCTAATGAACTTTTATATATATATATATATATATATGGCATTATGAATCTCCTGTTGTATAGGCAAGGGAACATGTGAGGGCCATCAAGTAGAAAAAAAGAAAAAATACACAACACATTTTTCTATGGGTCAGTTGGCGTGATATAAATCTTCCTCCCCTCCCTTCCCCACACACACATATATGATATATATAGTAAAATCATTTCTTTGGCGGTTGTACGTCCAACAATTAATCTTGATCATTGATTCTTCACATTTAATGTTTTCACCCACTTTTTGATGGTTATAATTTTTCAAATTTAATTGCTGGATATATATATAGTTTGATTTTTCTCATGTTGCATCAGACAATTTGTCTCATGCAACACACAAAAAAGTGGGTGGGACCCACTAAGAAGGAGAGAGAAAAGGAAAAAAATTGGTCTCATCCACTTTTGTGTGTGTTGCATGAGACAAATTATCTCATATAACACGAGAAACACATTTCCCATATATATAATCACTAAAATTGGTATAAAAGGGCTTTGTTGGGAAATTTTCTTCAATACATCAGAAGTACCTATTTTGATACATCTTTTTTTCAAATAGGGAAATTATCTTTTCATTTATACCATTGCTTTTCTTTATTATTCCCACTAAATCTGAAAAACTTTCCCCATTACATAAAGATGTACCTACATATGATGTGCCCAAGGTTTTCTTCTATGTTGGTTAGTTGATATGTTAGGCAGAACATGAGAGTTAATTCTCCTTTGTTAAAAAAAATGACATAATTAGTAAAAAATTATAATCATATAAAGGTGGATTAATGATGATAAAAAAAAAAGAAAAATATATTATAATAGATAGTTATAAAATCATAACTTTTGATTTATTTTTATATAGTTACAATTTTTCTATATGCTCATGTCATATTTTTTTTTTTTAACGAGGATCTATTCCCCGCAGAACATAATCTTAATTATCATGAGATGTCAATCTCACATTTCAACATTTTTATCGAATAATTTGTTTTAATATTACATCAAATAAGTATTTTAACATTAAATACTTTTAAAGAAATAAACCACTACAGATCATTGTTGGGTAACACCAAATTATTCGGCGATATAATTGCATAAAAATCAAACTAGATCTAAATTTATTGGTCTTATGCATTGAACTAGAAAGTGCTGTATATCACAATTTTAAAGTTTAGTCTTTCTTTTCCTATTTTAGTATCAGATTTAAACATACTCCACACAAAAATAAAATAAAAAAATACCAGATTTAAATAAATAAATAAAAAAGCATTCATAGGTGACTTAGACACAATTTGTTAAAAAAAAAATTAAAAACAATATTATAATAACTTGGAAATTCAAATACATACAAAAACCTAAAAAGAAAACACATTTAAACACATAAATAAGCACTTGGAAATTGTAAGAAAACTTCTGGCCCCTGATTTATTTGGTAATAAAAGAGGAAGTGCAACAGTGATTATTTAATGCAGAGATATAAATGCAGAAATGTTAGTTAGCAGCATCTATAAGTTACAGTGCTACATAACTAGATAACTGACCCTTTCCCTTTCTCTTATCTTTGTCTCTATCTCACCTGTTATTGTTTCCATTCACTTTTTCTAGCTTCTAACTTTTGTTGTAAGTTAGAAAGCATTTGCATGAAACTTCCAAAACCGCGTGAGCATGTAACTGTGTAAAGGGGCATCACATGTAGTTTTGACCAGTCTTCAAAGTAGACTTGAATAAAGGACAAGGAACCAAGGTTGAGATAAGGGTGTCTTATGCCTAGATGAATAGCTCAAGTTCATCATAGCTAAGTTCTAAAGTCAAGGCATTCATTTTTGGTTTTCTTTTTTAGAACTACACCATAATTCTCACAAGTTTGTGCCTCCTTAGAAGTATTAAATCCTAGATAAGGATTTTCTTGGTAAGATTTGAAATCTTTGTGGCACTTCATGGCTCTCTCTCGTGTACTTGTTGTACTTGTTCTTCTGTACTCATTGGTAACATTGGTATCTTCTTCTGGCTGGAAAACATTGCAAGGTGCGTGTTTCTAATTCTGTTTCCATTCAGTCTTCTAATGTTTCATGCGGTTCTCATTCATCTTCTAGCTAGCTAGTTCTGTGTTGCTGCTGCGTCTCATGCTTGTAAGGAAGTTGGGTATTTGATGTTCTTTCTAGAGTTTTTGAGTCTTGTTTTAATGAACAACATTTTGTATTAATCAAACTTTCAATATAATATATATTAGTAGTGTTATTGCAATGATCATAGTAATGTTAAGTCATCAATTTTTTCTATCTTGAAGAGAAAATAAGAAGTAAACCATTTCATTATATTGAATCAATAATAAGTTAAAGCACAGAGACAAGATAATGAACTACAAATAATATCCAGAAATAGATAATTTTAACTGCCTAATGGGTTTTCATCTCTTGAAAGCAGTAAAATTTTGTTGCAAGATGTGTGTTATTCATAAACAAATGCCAGAAATTAAACCTTGTGTATGAAGATTTATACATAAATGTGACTCCAACTTTTGTTTCACATCCTGATATACTGGGAAACTCAGAAATCAGGACCATGGTGTTTCATAGTAATTCACATGCTCTTTTGATTTGCTATGCAGGATCTCCACCACTTGTCATAGCACGTGGTGGGTTTTCAGGGATATTTCCAGCTTCAAGTTTATCTTCCTATACTTTGGCACTAAACACTAGTGGTCCAAATGTTACCCTATGGTGTGATGTGCAATTGACAAAGGATGGAGTTGGAATTTGTTTCCCAGAGCTAAAGCTGGAAAATGCCACTGATATTTCCATTGCATACCCTGGCAAAGCAAAAGATTACTCAATTAATGGAGTTCTAACCCGGGGATGGTTTTCTGTGGATTACAACTTCGATCAACTAGCAAATGTTTCCCGTGAGTTCAATCTATTTTGAGACCAGATCATTTTGTTTCTAAAACCAGCTAGGCTATAATTAATTGCTTGGATAAAATTTAAATCTTCTTTATCAAATAAATAAGATATTTGCAATGATAAGAAGATGAGGTTGGTAAATGGCATTGATTTCTTAAGTGGGGGAGTAGAGTAGTTCTTGGTGATTTGATTATCTTTGATCGTAACATCTAAGTGGGAAACTTGTTCCATTTCTTTTTCCCATTTTTGCTTTGATATATGCTTGTGATCACTAATAATTTTCTTGTTATTGGAACAGTTGTTCAGGGAGTGTACTCTCGAACTAATAAGTTTGATGGCAATAAATTTCACATTCTCACTGTTGAAGATGTAGCTAAATTAGTAAAATCACCATCAACAGGCCTGTGGTTAAATGTTCAGGTAACTTGAAGAGTATTTGCCTCTTTGTCCTAATGTTGGTAATGTGATACATTCTTTTGTTTCATGGCAGACCCTGAGTTTAGACATGTGGGGTCTGACTTTTAATCTATGTTGTTGACTCAATTTGTTTTTGTAATACTTTGCAGCATGATACATTCTTCAAGCAACAGAATTTGAGTGTAGAAAATTTTCTAGTGTCTCTCTCTACTAAACAAGTGTCTGTCAATTACATCTCATCACCTGATTTGGATTTCTTAAGAAGAGTAAGATCAAGCTTCAGTCCTAGAACAAGCTTGATCTTCAGGTTTCTAGAGCAGGATAAGATTGAACCTACAACCAATCAGAATTATGGTGCACTCTTGAAAAATCTCACATTTATCAAGACACTTGCTTCAGGAATTCTTGTTCCCAAGGGCTATATATGGCCTGTGGACTCAGATCTTTATCTACTACCACATACCTCTCTTGTCTCAGATGCTCATAAAGAAGGGTTGCAAGTTTTTGTATCAGACCTAGTTAATGATGTTCCATTTAGCTACAATTTCAGCTATGATCCTCTGGCTGAGTGCCTATCTTTCATTGATAGTGCAACCTTTTCTGTTGATGGAGTGCTGTCTGACTTCCCGGTAACTCCATCTGCAGCTATAAGTAAGTTTTGTTTCCCTTGTATAATAGATATGTACCTTTAGAACTATTTTGTATTGTGGTCATTTTACTGTGTAGAAGTATATAATATACATATCTTTTATCATTATTTTTCAAACTAGGGGTATAAATGAGTCAAGCGACTTGTCAAGGGTTTAAGTCCAGCCCACATCAGCAAAACTTGGCCTATTATATTTAGTAAAATAGAACAAGCTCAAGCTTTCAAAAAAGTATATTTAGAAAGCAGGTTACAAGCTTTCTTTTACAAGGCCTGGTCTATATCATATTATTTATTTTAAATAAAATAATTATTCAATTAATTTTGAATAATATAATAATATTATGTTAATTATTTTTTAATTCTTAAATGCCTAATAAACTTAAACAAATGACAAGCGTAGGCCTTTTGTTTTTTAAATATAAGTCAAACAATTTGACTAACACTAGACTAAAAAATCAGACCAGGCTTAAACTATTTAAGCCAAAGCTTGGCACATCCCAATTCATTTACATCCCTACGTACAAGTATTAAAATGAATATGTAATCCCTAAATAAATTTAAATGAAATAAATGTTATTCAGTACATCCATGCAAGTACGGAAGACAAACACAAGCCAGAGATGATTATATAATCTGTTAAGGCTGAGCTGCATGTAACTCTCTTTATACCTTGTGAATCAATACTAGACACTTAGACTATTATGCTTCTTGAGATATATAAAACCATTAAAAAGTCCTCACCCACTAACTTAAGTTTTTGGGTTGAATTGGTTGTTTACATGGTATCAAAGCCTCGGTGTACCGGGTTCGATCCTCACCGCCCCCACTTTCTTTCAAGTGAAATTTCTTTGTTCGCACAGGTAGGTAGGCATGTGCATTGTCCACTCTTCAAGCCCAATGAGCTCTCGTGTGATGGGGCGTGTTGAGATATATAAAACCATTAAAAAACCCTCACCCACTAGCTTAAGCTAGTGGGTTGAATTGGTTGTTTAGAATGCTTATCTAATAATATCATAAGTTATATGCTATCTGATTGCAATCAGCATCACATTCATATTCTGAAATCTCATCTTCTACTGCAGATTGTTTTTCTGGCCTAGGGCAAAAAGCCAAAAATCAAGGTATAATTTTTTTTGTTCTCTCTATTGGTTTATTTCATTTCATCACTGTTGACAAGTAAGTAAATCATCTATATTAACCTGTTCCTGCTTGTTTTATATTTTTTATGCAAAAGTGGAGACTTTGGTTATCACAAAATATGGAGCAAGTGGAGACTATCCTGCTTGTACTGACCTTGCATATAACCAAGCTAAAGTTGATGGAGCAGATGTACTTGACTGTCCTGTTCAAATGTCAAAGGATGGAATACCATTTTGCTTAAGCTCTATAGATCTTTCAGAAAGCACAACAGTTGCTGAAACAAAATTCAAAAACCTTACAACAACTATTCCAGAGATAAAATATCGAAGTGGCATATACACATTCAGCTTGACATGGAATAAGATAAAATCATTGACTCGTAAGTTGAATGATTTTCTTGAATGCTTATTATCTTGGTGTGATATTGTTTAGCCCTTCTTCCTCCTTGTTTAATATCCTTGGGGGCTATCAATGGGAACTTGGAACTATTTAAAATTGTTCAAATCATTTATGGGGAAAGTACTTCTTATGTGACTGCAGAAGGGAACACTTGCAGCAACACAGGATACGCGTCCGAATCCTGGTTTTTTTTTGTTTTTTTTTTTGTTTTGATAGAATCCGCACGTGTATCCTAGGATCCGCACGTGTATCCTAGTGTTAAAAATTTACTGCAACTTTTCTCATCAGCAGTCACATGAGAAGCGACGGACCCATCATTTATACCTAAAATTTGTCACTAGCCAAAAGTTCCATATAATTATAATTACTAACACAAAATAATTATAATTAGGGTTTCCCATTCAGTTTAAGTTCTTGGAAAATTAGAACAAAGGAAAAAAAAATGATTTCAATTTGTTCTCAAAAAATGTACACATCGCTCAATTTTGCTCCTCTTTGTTTTTCATTGTAGCCTCAATATTGAACCCTTATGAGAAGTACACATTGCTCCGGAATCCGAAATTCAAAAGTCAAGGGAAATTGTTAACCTTGTCTGATTTTTTGTCCTTGGCTAAAGGCTCTGGCATCTTGATCAGCATAGAGGTTAGTTCTTGCATTTCTATCTTGTTCAGGATTCGTTCTTGGGTAAGCAGTTGATTTTTATAGGTCATTACTATGCATATCATAAATTATTTCAATGAACATATGACGAATATTTCATTAGATAAAGAAAATTAGCTTGATAAAAAGCAAAAAAGGATAATGTTTGTTGTAGGGTTTAAAGCCTTAGTGTAATTATGTGGTGAAACTAATTTACACAGGTAATTATTAGGTACTTGTTCTTTAGTTTCTGCAAGTATCTTTAATTCTTGCAACATGTCTAGGGGCTGCTTGAAAACTTCAAGTGAATTTCACATTATTGATTTCATGACTCCTAACCTCGGTTCCTTAGAATAAGCATAAATTCTAAGTGATTGCTACTTAGACAATTTTGTACTTCATTATTATCAAGAATGATTGGTTAGTTCTTCAGCAAATTAACAAATGGTTTCTTTCTGTCAGTATGATAGAGATGTCTAGCCAAGGGCTAGTAGATCAATATAGGATCTTGTTCTCTCTCTAGGTACCTATGAACTAAGTATCTTGGGGGTAGCAAATCACGGTACACGATTATGAGGCCTTAGCCAGAAATGAGGGTGGTGTGTGTGCACTGTGATTGCATAAAATATAGTAGAGATAGAATAGTCCATACCTATGGTCTTTATCTCCTATTTATAGTATTTACCTTAGGGTTTGAACCATTTGGGCCTCCTTCCCTTGGGCCTGCTCTGTTGTTCGCATGTTATTCAGATGTCCATCCTTTATTGGGCCTCTCAAGTATATGGGCCTTACACGGGTCCATAACAGTTTCCACCTTGATTAATTCCTTTTATGCTTTGTTAATGACATTTTCTTTTCTTTTTGGTATCAGAATGCTGCCTATCTTGCAGAGAAGCAGGGATTAAGTGTGACCAATGCAGTCCTTGATGCTTTACACAAAGCAGGTTATGATAAACCAGGATCCCAAAAAGTTATGATTCAGTCAACTCATAGCTCTGTACTGAAGATATTCAAGGATAAAACCAAATATGAAAGGGTTTACAAGGTTGATGGGAATATTGGTGATGCTGTTGCTTCAGCTATTGAGGACATCAAGACATTTGCTGATTCTGTGGTGGTTGGAAAGGAATCTGTTTTTCCTGAAGTTTCTGCATTTCTAGTTAACTCTACAAAAACTGTAGCAAGACTAAAATCATTTAACCTCCCAGTTTATGTAGAAACTTTCAGCAATGAATTTGTATCTCAAGCATGGGACTACTACTCAGATGCATTTGTTGAGATAAATTCATTTGTCATTGGAGCCAAGATTAATGGCATAATTACTGACTTCCCTAAGACAGCTGATAGATACAGGAGTAAGTGGAAACTTCTATATAAAACTTTGCTTCTTCAACAAGGTTTTTTGAAAATTGACATAATTTAGTCCTTAGTTTGTGTTGCTAGAACTGGAAAGCCTAAGTTTTACATGATGAGGATACTAATTCTTTATAATTTAGTAGAAAAACTCTGCATACTAATAATCTTACAGCTATATGCTGAAAGTTTTGTGTAGTCTGCAGTGCATCACTCATGATTACTGCCAGCATGGTTATTGGTTAAGATAAAAATAGGCAAAAACCCTTGTGCATAAAGGCTTCCCAACTCCATGAGAGTAGGGGATAATGGTCGATTGTATGCAATTTTACCATTGCACGCAAGAAGGCTGTTTCCTAGATTTAAACCACTAACCTTATGGTCACAAATGAGCATTATTATCACTGCTTCGAAGCTCGCCCTATGAATTGGTTAAGCTATAAATTTAGAAATATTCTTGTCACTTAACAAATTTTGTTAGTCTTATCACTTTTTCTTTGATTTGTTTATTACATGCCTAATAGGAACAATTCTGCAAAGAACTAGCTGTATTGTATGAAACTATTTAAGCCTCATTGCTGACTTGATTGTTGTTCTACTTCTACTTATTGCAGAGAACTTGTGTCTAAAGCATGGCAACAAAGCACCTTATATGAGCCCTATTGAACCGGGCAAACTCTTAAAACAAGTTACCAATAAGGTGTACCTTCCATCACCTGCTCCTCCACTCCCAGTCTTGAATGATAGTAATGTGACAGAGGCACCTTTACCTGGTGTTTCTGGTCAAGTTCCAATTCCCAGTGCTGCTCCTGGATTAAGGGCAGCAGCTCCAGCCCCAATCACAGCATAAAGAAAGGTAAGCAGGAAACAAAGTGTAGCATCAATGGCATTTACTTTGTGAGCTCCAAGGAATTTCTTTCTATGACTAGTATTTTATGAAATGGAACATTTCATTTATTATGATAGTCCTATTGTAAGATGTGATAGTTATATTATGACATAATTTTTACATTATCAATTAAATTCCTTTGGACTGTGGAGAAATTTTTTCCTTGCTTCTATAAAAGTTGCAGAACAATTCCTATACATTTTCTAATCCCACAAGAACTGTTGAATCTTGTTCCTCCTTAAATGCTTTGGCAACTTATCATTATAATGTGTGTCTCCATGTCTCAAGCATGACATTATATTCAATAATTGAGAGCATGGAAGAAATTCTTCACCCCATCTATATAATGAGAAGAAATCAGAACCAAGAATATAGATTGAAAACAATTGTGAGTATTAGATTTCCTCTTCCTAAAAGGAATGAGTATTCATCCGTTGTGAGAGACAAATTTTGTATTCCATCCTTAATGTGGGTGAAGAATTGTGTTTAATCCTCCAATTATATACTAGGGAAGAACCTTTTGTAATCCTATTTTAAGGTGAACAATTTTTTAGACATGTGATTTTTGCTCACATATTGAACGAGTTTTTCAGATTAAAATTGTTGTGTGCATTTTCTTCTCCTTCTCCTTCATTTATGCATAAAATACATTGCATTTGATCTGGAGCAAATCTCAACTAGTAACGTACACAAGGTTTTTTAATTGTCACTTTTTTTAAAGTATTAATCTATTGCAATTGAGATTATAAAATATAAAAAACACAATAAAATAAATTAATAAATTATATATTTTAGATTAAGTTGTTTGTATCTTATTCCCTTCATGTATGATTGTTTCTTTTGTACAAAATAAAAAACAAACAAACAAAAGTCAACTTGTATAACGTTATGTGAGGGCAATACAGGGGAACGCATAGATCAAACTTGATTTGAAATTAAAGTCCAAAAAGAGAGAGAAATTGTAAGAGAGATATATCTATCCTTATTCATTCATGAAATTTGAGCTACGCAGCTTCGAACTTGTTTTTATTGGAATTTATCCGATAATAATCTTCAAGTTTAAGCATGTCAAATTCATGCATACCAATTTTTGTTTGAGCTTTCATTGACTTAATAAATACCCGCCTCTATTAGGAAGCCTAGTCTCATATAAGTGTAGCAAACTAAATGAAAGCTCTTCTAAAAGTAAATAATATGATAAAAAATAGTTAAGAGAATACGTTAAGAATGTAGGTAAATTTGTTACTTTCAACAAGAATGAGTAAAAGAAAGCTCAATCCAAACATTAAATAGTATATATAACAATTGAAATAGTTGAAAAAATTCAATGCACAAGAAGCATTCAAAAACCGATGTAATTTGTTCAAGTATCGGAATATATTATTTAAGACCTACTAATAAAATAAAAATAAAAATATTATTTGATAATCTTAATTAGATTCAATTTTGTTATAAATACCTCATGAAGCATGAACGCTTTAAGCCTCCAACAACCATCTTGATTATTGAATTAAATTTGAAGTCAACATCAAGACCTATCAAATAGCCATAAATAATAAGGCATTTCACAAATGGCGAGATTTCATTCAAATCAGTTTTAAACATTAGTTCCCCTTTCAAGCAAAGGCAATACATCTAGAAAACTTAAAGCAACTTAAAGCTGTTTCTGAAACTAGGGAAGTAATTGACCAGCGATATTAAATCAAAGATATGAAATTGTGACATTAAAAAGTTTGTAAACAATATACAGACAAACTTTCAAGGGAGTTACTTTTCTTATTTTACATAAAAAAAAATATTATTTTCTACACTCATATTTTTTTAAATAAGTTCCACAAGAATTTTTTTCTCTCACCTCTAATTTTTTTTTTCTATTTATTATTTGAGTAGGAGATAATATTTCTCTTATACAACATACAAAAAGTATTACTCAACTTTTAATATCATTAGTATTTTTTCTAAATAAAGTATGTAAAAGTAGTTTAGTTTCGGTATGAATGTTATCAAAGAAGTATATATATATATATATATATATATATATATATATATATATATATATATATATATATGAGTTTATCATCTATCATTTAACATGACCACAAAAAGTTTCTTACACACACAAAATTTTGTGGGGCCCGCAGCAAAAAAAAAAACTTCGGCACGCAAAACGAATCTCTATAACATAACACAATCACTTTTCATACAACATAACTTTTATAAAACCCTATATATATATATATATGTGTGTGTGTGTGGGAAAAAGTATCTAATATTACTTTAGATAATTTTGTCTAATGTTAACCGAAACGACATCGTTTTGAGGTTGAAAAATGAAAAAATTAGAATGATAAAGACTATTATAATCCTGAAATAAATTATATTTACAAATACACCATAATTTTTGTCCCAAAATGATATCGTTTCGGCGAACATTAGATAAAGTTGTCTAAAGTAACTTTAGAAAAAACGAACCATATATATATATATGGCAAAATGATTTGTAATGTAACTGTATAAAAGCATTGGTGCAGTCACCTAAAAATATCCTGTTTTGGTTGGGATAAAGGAAGTTCACGCTTAAAATTAATTGTAGAAATGGAAATATTATATTTATTTTCACCTTTGTATGGTTATGATTTCTCATATTTAATGCTTTATATTTATTTCCATCCGTGTATGGTTATGATTCCTCATATTTAATATTTTCACACTATAAAACGACGTAGTTTTATATGACTGCACCAATCATTAAATGTAGACGTGCCTGTACATCCGCTAAATCTTATATATGTATATTTAAAATGTTGAATTAAATGAAAAAAGTGCTCAAGCTTTTTATTTTGGATGTATTGTTCTGAAAAAAATAAATAATCCAAAAGAAATAAATTCAATTTTGTTTATCCTTCTCGATATATTTTATTTAATTAACTACAAATTTGTTTGTCCGTAATTTGTGATGGGTATTTAAAAATTTCAAAAATTTGTCACAAATCAAAGTTTCTGACAAATTCTTTTCATTGAATAATTTGTAAAGTTTCTATACAAGGCATTATTGGATAGTGTTTCTTTTGCATTACAAATATGGGATAACTGTGCTTGTTAAAATATATTTGTTTATTTTATTCCATAACTCTAATTATTCTTACGGGTTGAGTCAGGTTTTTTGGTATTCTCATGATCCCAACCGGGAAAGAAACCCATAGAGGTGTAAAATTAATTTCAAATCGAATAGTGTGACAAATATCCAACCTGACCCCAAAGATTTTCTAGAGAAATACATTTATTTTCCTGATTTAAGGAGCTTTAGGAAAACTTGGTCATTTAAGTCTTCAATTGTAATAAAATTATTTATAGTGTAAAGTGTAAACGTCTTTTTTTCTTCTTTCACCTTTGGGCTGCTAAGTGTTTCTCAAATTTTTCGGTTTATTCATAATGGATCGAAATTTATAATTTTTCCAATTTTACGTGAATGGAAAATCGGGTCTTTCCTCTTAGTTTCCATGATGCTGAAGCAATTTCTATTTTCTCACATTGAGATACTTCAATACTAATTCATTGGTGTTTGTTGAGATATATAGTCTCACATTGGTTGTATGTGCAACTAATGTGGAGTTTATAAAGTCTTGGGCACTCCTACCCTTTGAGTTAGCTTTTGGGGTGGAGTATCCCAATGTTCTTTACATTGTATCAGAGCCTCGCCGCCCCCCACTTTCTCTTGTGGTGTTTCTTAGCACAGATAAGCTGGGCTTGTTACATTGTCCACTCTTCAAGCCCAATAGACTCTCGTGTGAGGGGGCATGTTGAGATATATAATCCACATTGGTTGTATAGTCCCACAGTGTTAAACAAATTTAGAAATCTAAATTAATGCTATTCCATTTGTTAGATCAACAACTTTAATTTATGGCCACCAAAATTTTTAGGGTAAGCCTTTTTCCACGCACAACAAGTTGATTACTGCCCATGATAATAAAAGAAATTTGTGACCACTACGAAGGGAATATGTGACAAGCAAGTGGTGCAAGAGAGTAATTTTGTTCACTTTCTATCTAGTTAAAAAAGTATGTATTGGAAATTCTGAATGATAAAATCCTGTATTGAAAAGAAATAAGGAATATATAATTGAAAGGACTCATAAATTTAATACTTTTAAAATTTTATATTGAGATGTGGTGTTCATTAACTCATTGTGAACTTTGATTAGGCCCTTTAATACATGAATGATAATTTCCCTTAATTTGGGCTCTCTTAGTAATATAATCGTCCAATAATAAAAAATATATATTCATCCCTTTCATTATCCATTTTTTTTGCTAAACGAAATAATAATAATTTAATTAAGGCATTGGTACCATTATTTATTTGTATTTTTTTAATAGATTATAATTTTGATTAATTAAACGACTTTAATTTATTTATTTAATAATTTAATATTTATACATACTTAATTAACTATTTACATATTAAAATTAAGAAAAAATAATTCATTTATTACCTAATTTTTTTTTTGGTAATCTTATACCTGAAATTTTTTACTTTTACTTTATAATGAATCACCATCTCTTTTTATTAAAATTTAAATTAAAAAAATGTTATAATTTTTTTTATTACAATGATATTACTTTTTATATTTTTACTTATGTATTACACTTTTTAAAATTCAATTCTTATTTTATTATTTATTACTATTAATAGGAATATAAATTCTTAAAAAGTAATAAAATATTGAAAATAAAACAGAAAAAATATAAAAAAAATGATTATTAAGTACATCAAATTATTGGAAGCCAAGAAATTCTTAAAATATATACCTACGTGAAAAAAATTGATGTTGATTTTATTATTATTAATATTATGATTCAATTATGTCTTATCATATGATTATCAAAATAGAACGACTTTTGAAGCAATTGTTAAAATTAAATTTTTTCATGAACACACTTATCAAACATTCAAATACACCCCTTATTTATGAGTATATTTTCAGTGCTCTGGTTATAAATATTTTGTATTGACTTAACATAATTAAAGGTGAAATCCATTTGACATTAATCATAAAAAATGAGATATGATAAATGACATTAATGGATTATTTTTTTTCTATTTTTAGTAAGAAATGTTCCGAGTATATTATTTATTAATTATCAAGGAAAGAAAAGGAAGAACGAGTGATAGGATGAGAAGTATTTGACTCATAAGTAGGTGGCTAATAAAAAAGAAAAACGGCGTGCTTTTGGTAATTGATTCCAATTATTTATGGGCTTTAATTTTTTTTATTATGTTATAAACACATTTTGTGGGGGCTCATATTTATTAAAAAAAAATACTACACAAAAATATAAAGATCACTAATAGGAAAAATTAATTCTTTTAAAATATGAAGAAGAAAAATATCTCATTATTTATTTGAGGTATTCTCTGCACACGATATATCACCGGTACCGTTTTGCACGTTGCCATCACGGGGCCTACACCTTTGATATATGTGGGGTATGTGGGCCACCACTTTCCGGACCCCACTCTATAGCAGTTATCCAATTGTTCATGTATGGCTCACACCTGAGACTCCTGCCTTAATTAGGGTGTTCGCGGTCTGGATTGGATCGGTTTTAGAAGCAAAACTCATCCGATCCAATTCCTTCGGTTTGATTATGTAATCATCCATTCGGTTTAGATTTTTTTTTCAAATCCGATCCGATCCAATCCAATTTTTTCGGTTTGGATTGGATCGATTTTCGGTTTTTTGAATATCCTAAAATTAGTTTCATGATTATTGTGAAAATAACATCTTTTATATATATTGGCTTTGGAAAAAAAATTTGAAATACAAAAATATCAGTAAACAATACTATAGTTGATGAGACGTGACTAAGTTTTTTTTTGGGTTTAGTTGATAAGATAATGGGTCTTGAGTTTAGAAATTTTTGGGCTATGATTGGAGAAAGGACAAGTAGAGGATAATTAATATATTGGATCGGTTTGGATTGGATCGGTTTTCATCAACCCATCCAAAAACCGATCCAATCCAATTAAAATTTGCGGTTTTCTTTCGGTTTCTGATTTTTCGGTTTTCGGTTTATTCGCTTATCGGTTTTTCGGTTCGGTTTTCGCGGTTTGAATTGGTTTGGATCGGTTGATGAACACCCCTAACCTTAATCGCATTAACTTATGAACCATTTACTTTATTTTAATTTAGGATTTGTGTTTGGAAAAAATATTTCTACTGCGTCAAATAATCTCTAACGATCTCAAATAATATTATTTTGTGGGTTTGAACTTTGAACATTAAATTATTTAGGTCAAATAATAATTAATAAAAAAAATAATTATTATTTGTTTAATTTTTTAAAACACTATAAATTCTAAAATAATAAATGTATTTCAATAATAATAATTTTATAGTTAATTTTTCCCTACTATATCGACAAAAGAATGTTATGTAATTAATCATTTTGATAAATTAATCAAATTAATATTGTTATTTTGACATTAAATTTATCAAGTCAAATTATAATTACGAACATAATTTATTTTTATTTATCGGGTGATTTTTCAAAATTTCTACCAATTAAAAAATATTAAATTTATTATTAATAATAAATATTTGATTATTAAATTTAAAATTATTATAATTAAATTAAATAATAATTATAATTATAAATAATTTTCATTTGAGTGTAATTTTTTAGAATTCCAAAATTTTTAAATATCAAATTTATTATTAATAATAAATTTTTTACAATTTGATGTTTTTAAAAGATAAGTTTTTTATTTTAACTATTATTTAAATTAATTCATTTAAATTCAATTTTTAATTTATTGAAAAAATAATACTATTAATTGAATGAAGTTTATGTGAAACACATGATCAAAGAATTAATAATATTTAAGATGGACTATCTCCTCACCAAAAAAAAAAAAGATGGACTATCTAAAATCTAAATTCTGCTGTATGACAGACGAGATTGTAATTTGACTTATGATTGGAAACAAAACATGAGAGTATCCATATTGAAAGTTGTGCGTGATTTCAAATTGAACCATTCAAGAATGAAAATGAACCTGATTAATTTTAATTTTTATAAATCATATGTATTTTCCAACCGAAAATAAATATATTCGAGGTAAAAATATTTATATCATTATAAGATTACTTCTCGCAAAAGGAAGTTTTTACATTCGAGGGACTTGAACCCAAAATCTTATCACTTGATTGAATTTTTTAAATACCTAATAAAAACATTTTCATAAATTGAAGACAGCTCAGAATCTCAAAGGAAAAAAAAATAAAAAAATCCTCCTGCTATCCAAACAGAGAGTAAAGGGCCGTTTGGATGAATATCTTTTCTAAAAAAAAAAAAAAAGTACTTTTTACTCTAAGAGTTCGTTTGGATGAATTTTTTTCTTCTTTTGGATGTATGCTTTAAAAAAAAAAAACAGAAATCACAAAAAGTCAAAAATTTATTTTTTTTAGAAGCTAAAAATTTTAACTTCTAAAAAAAGCATAATTCAAAAGTCAAATACTTTTTTTTCAAAAATTAAATATTTTTATAAAAATATAAATCACTTTAACTTTTGTAAAAAACACTTCTAAAATAAAGAAGAGATAAAAGTTACTTTTTTGATAAGGCGAAACAAACGGACTCTAAATTCCTTTGGATGCCTGTTTTACAAAAAAAAAAAAAAGAAGTCACACAAAAAATTAAAAGTCTATTTTTTTAGAAGTTAAAAATTTTAGAAGTCAAAAGTCAATATTTTTTTTCAAGAAATCAATATTTTTTTAAAAATTTAAATAATTTTAACTTTTGTAAAAAAAACACTTTTAAAATAAACAAGATATAAAAATTAATTTTTTTAAAAGGCGCTCCAAAATACTCAAACGTAATTTTTTTTTTTTTTTAAATATTTCAATCGGTTCATTGCTTCGCAATTAATCCGATTCTGGGCGAGTCCAGAATTAAAGTTTTAAATCCCTCCCAAAGGTGGTACTGAGAAGATTCGAACACGTGCTCTTACCCTCACCTGCTTAGCTTCCCATGCACCAACTAAGCTACCACCATATGCTCTCAAACGTAATCTCTAACCACACTTATTACGCGGGAGCTCTTTGTAATCTTGATTATATATGTGGTAAATAATATTTTTATGTCGTAGAAAAATAATTATTTCATGTTGTAGAAATAAAATTAAATGTGGAATTCACAAGTAAGAGGAGACAGAAAAAAAGAAGGGACCCACCATTTTTTTGTGTATAGAAAATTTGTTTATTTTATTCAAAATTAGATAAATATAACCCTATATATTTTAATCAAATATGTATTAACATTAGTGACCGATTAATTTGATGAAAGAATAATCATTTAGGAAATAGTGGACATGATATTTATTACTTAGCAACTATTATAACTAACACTGATCCCAACAATGTGTTTTTTATACACAAAAATCTCAAAATTAAATATGATAATAAAATAGATTAGTCCTTTTCATTTGTACCAACCTACTTTGTTTTTCTGGGACTAACTTTTTATTTTTTCTAAAATAAATGTATGTCTATATATATATAAAGAAAAAGAAGGTTACCTGAAAAGGTTGTCTGAATAGACATATTAGTATATTACTTCTCTATCTCTGTATTCTCTCTATTACCTGATATCAACTCAGGAACTCACGCGTTTTGCTCCGGCGACCGGGAATTGAAACTTCGCCGGAATGTGGGAGCCACGCGCTGTTTTCCGTGCTCTTCCTCTTCTTCTTCTTCTTCTTCACTCGGTGTTAGCTCTGGTCTCTGCTAAGGGATCAAACAGAACCACTTGGAACACTCTCGGAGGTTTGTGTCTTGTTTCACTACGGTTTCTTTTTCTGATGTTTTCGTTTCTCTCTTGCGGAGTTCATTCATTTTTTGTATTTCTTGCTGAGAAAATGCAACGAGAGAATAAGGTGAACATCGACGTGTTTGTGTTGTTTTAAGCTTACCTTAGCTTACTCGAGTGGTGTAGGTGTTGATCTATGTTCAGATATCAAACGGAGGATCTGTGATTTTCTTGCATGCAAACTTTGATTGAACTTTTGTTGGTGGAAAGGGAAATGTATATGAAACTGAGAATTGAGGTGCGGTAGTGTACTCTGTTGTGGTGCCTGGAAAATAATTTGAAGTTTTAAATTTTTGAACTTGGTTTTGTTGAGTTGTCATCAGAAATGGATTAATCTATTTTTGCATGTGATAAATGGAAACTTTGAAAGCATGTGGCAAATTTTCTTTAAGGTTAGTTTTTTTTTTTTTTTTAAAGGAACTGTTTTAAAAATCAAGATTTTAAACCCTTTTTGTATAGATTATGTAAATTAATGACAACAATGTTATGAATAAATAAAAAAAGGAAGGTAAATCAGAAAAAAAAAATAAAAAATTGTAAGTTCATTTCATCGTAAGTTGTTAGGGGAAATTAATGGTCTGTTTGTGAATTTAAGAAATTCAAACCTTTTGTTTAGTAAAACTGGAGAGATGAAGCCCAAACAACAACTGAATTCAACTCTAGATATTATTAAGATCATAAAGTTTTTTTTTTTTTTTTGTCATATAGAATTTAAGAAGACATTGTGAATAGTATTTACCATGAACTTGAATGACTTCTGCGCTCTCCTTTTTTTTTTTTAAGGAGAAACTTCTACTCTGTACTCTGTGTCATGAAACTTACTGGTACAATTCTTTTGCAGGAAAACCACCATTGGTTATAGCACATGGTGGGTTTTCAGGGATATTTCCTGATTCCAGTTCAGATGCCTTTAATCTTGCAAAAATAACTGGTTCAAAAGATCTCATTTTATGGTGTGATGTGCAATTAACTAAAGATGGTGCTGGGATTTGCTTGCCAGATATCAAGCTTGAAAATTGTACTGACATTGCTGAAGGCATTTATGGAAATAATAGTAAGAGTTACTCAGTTAATGGTGTAACAACCCGCGGGTATATTTCTGTGGATTACACCCTGAAGGAGCTATCCAATGTGTTCTGTAAGTTCAGATGTACTTTTATTCTCACATGCTTTCACTATTTGATAGACTAACTGATTCTTTTCTTCCTTTTTATTTTTTAACTGATGTTAGGTCTTTTACCTCATGTAGGATCTATTGATAGATTTGTTGGCCTTTATTACATCTAACACTTAGGAATTTATGTTTTATGATAATTTTAGAAGTTGTCTGTAACAAGCACTGTAGATTAGGTTTGTAATTCTTGTTAAGAGGATTGGAGGAAGGGAGGGGAGAAGAAAACATTTAGGAAGAAAACCTGGTGGTTTACAACTACGATTCTTGGGCTTCAGAACCTAGAAGACAGTGCCACATACATTCAGGAACTAGAGTATTCTATTTCCACTTTCAAACTCTTAAATATTCCAGTACACCACTTAGAGGTTGGAACAAGTCTGAACTTGAGACCCCAAAGGGGAAAAACTTGGTGCCTTAGTTTTGAAAACTTGCAGTTAATATCCAAACAAAACACCAGATAAGCTAAACAGGAAGGCCTAAACAGGGTACTTGGTTATTACATTATCAAACTATCGAGATTCTGCCAATGTAAGAGTGGAAGAAACTGTAACAAAATATGCCTCTTAAGTTTCAACACTATTATTCCTTCCAATTTAAGGAAAATAGAACATAAAATCAGTCTGACATTTAATTTAGACCTTATTTTGTTAGTTCTGCTGTCCTTAAGTCCATGTTTCATCTGACCCTTTGCTGAATGCATCAAAGGTTATTCCCAAGCAACTATGAGCTTTACAACAAACAAGTTATGGTATCCTGCTATATTAAGTCAGTCCTTTTTTCTTTTATTTGATATCAAGCTAACCTTAAGAATGGATTATTAAGTCAGTCCTTATTTCTTCTATTTGATATCAAGCTTTACTATTAAATTGATAGTTGTCATTTTGATAATTAACTCTTCTTGCAACTTGTACATTAACAACCAACAAGTTTCCCATAGGAATAGATTATTTTGGGAGTGAATTATTTATACTAGCTGGAGATTGTAATTGGCACTTTTTGGAGACTTCAACTTATGTGTGTGTATATATATATATACACACACATATCTTCTCATTACACCTTTGTTATGGGACATGGGTAATGTCAATGATAATGGGACAATACCTGATCTTTGGACAGTTCTGTTCCAAAACCACTTGTGCAATCTTTAATGACAAATTGAGATCTTGTACCCTGTTCTCCAAAACAAGTTAATAAAGGTAATATCCTGGTCAATAATTGCTTACATACTGTAAAGTGTTACACTGGTGATATCTATGTTTTATAGATCAGTTGATGTTAATTTTCTGTGTTTTTGCTAGCTTTTGAGCTTTGATTATATGTGTGTGTGTGTGTGTGTGTGTATTACTGACAATTTTTGGTTACTGAATAGTGATTCGGGGAGTACTGTCTCGAACTAACAAATTTGATGGCATGTTTGATATTCTTACCGTCGATGGCTTAGTTAAAGAAAAATTAGGCTTGTGGTTGAATATTCAGGTAAATGGAAAGCATAATCCATTTTCTTAATCCAGTCTTCTAGTTTTTCTTGAACTAACTGTTGTTTTATCTGATATTTTGCAGCATGACGCATTCTATGCACAACATAATTTAAGTATGAGAAACTTCATACTTTCTGTTTCTAGAAGAGTAAATGTCAATTATATCTCATCTCCTGAAGCTGGTTTCCTAAGAAGTATAAGAACTAAGCTCAACCTGAGAACAACGAAACTGGTCTTCAGGTTTCTGGGACATGATGAAATAGACCCATCAACCAATGAGACTTATGGTTCCCTCTTAAAAAAGTTAACATTTATCAAGACATTTGCTTCAGGAATTCTTGTTCCCAAAGGATACATATGGCCTGTAGACACAAATCTTTATCTGCTACCGCATACCTCTTTGGTCTCGGATGCACACAAAGTGGGGCTGGAAGTCTTTGCGTCAGATTTTGGGAATGATTTTCTATTTAGCTATAATTACAGTTATGACCCTCTTGCCGAGTACCTCCATTTCATTGACAACGGATACTTCTCTGTTGATGGTGTGTTGTCTGACTTTCCCCTAACAGCGTCTGAAGCTCTAGGTAAGTTATATCTTTCTCCATTTTGTCAGAATGGCCTTCCACAAATATAATGGCTTTTGAACGCATCAAAATCTTGTTCACTTGTTATAATTTTTTTCTACTGAGATATTGCATTTGTATACATTGGAATGGAACTGAAGCAGCTATGATCCCTTAAATTTAATGTTACTAGTGTGTTTCTGGCCTTGTGCTTACCGCATTTTGGTGAGTCACCTTAAATGTGTCTCTCCTGCCTTTGCACGCACTTTTATCAATTTTTTTATTGCCCATGTATCTTTTAAGCAAGGATTTATGGTGTGAATCACCATACCTAATTATGTATAATACTGGAATTCAAAGATCAGTCTGCCGTGATATTGATCTATCTGTCTAGTTTATCTTTATTATCAAATCTGAGTAATGAAATATCAGCATTTCCATGAGGATGCCACTCAGATAGTTATACCATATGCAATTCTTCATCAAAGAAATGACACTGGTAGAATTTAGATTGAATATCACCTATAGGATTTCATGTCCTAATGCTGGTGCTAGTCCTTGCACATAATGTTTCAAAAAGGCCATTTTAGGTTTAGCCAACCACCCACCAGCTCCTTTTTTATGCTTCCACCTTTTAAGAGAAGTCCAGTTTGGACTAGACTCCTTCTTTAGGCAGATTCCAGCTATGTACTTTAAGCGACCGTCGTAAAAATCAATTTGATGTTTATTTTCTTTACTCAATTAATGCAAATAAAGATTTTTTTTTCCTCTAAGCATTGTGTGCTATTATCTTTCCAAAATGAAATTTTCTGTCTTGATTTTATACTATGCTTCTGCATCTTCTAAAATTAAGTATGTACTTGTTTTTCTTAGTAGATGTATGCACTTGATTTTAGTTGCATGTGGTTTCTATGTAACTGAACATTCCTAACCTGACAAACCTTAGATTATTTGTATGCATGAGTAAACAGTCCCCCCCCCCCCCCCCCCCCTCCTTCCTCTCCTCTCCTCTCTTTTTAAACAGATATCGAATTTTCTTCTTGTAATGCAGGCTGCTTTGCTCTCATAGGCGCCAATGCTCCAAAGAAAGGTACATCACTGCTTTGATATCCTCTTATGAATATGTATTCTCATCTTGTTCATTAGTCTTCCCATGGTTGATTCATTGTATAACTTTTATGCTAGCATAGATTGCATCATTGTTGACCTCATACTTTTATTTTGTTCATGTTTCAGTTAACACTTTGGTCATCTCAAAATATGGAGCAAGCGGAGATTATCCCGCCTGTACTGACTCAGCATATGAAAAGGCTATATCAGATGGTGCAGATGTTCTTGACTGTCCTGTTCAAATGTCAAAGGATGGAATACCATTTTGCCTAAGCTCCATTGATCTTAAAGAAAGCACAACAGTCGTCAAATCAAGTTTCATCAAACTTGACACAACTATCCCAGAGATCAAATCTGGCAGTGGCATATTTACATTCAACTTGGCATGGGATGATATAAAACACTTGACCCGTAAGTTAAATAGTCCAATATTTTCAGCATTTCCCTATTTGCATTCAGATTGTCTAGACAAGACCTATCATACGATCAGAATAATTGGGAAAAAATGACTTTACCACTTCACTTTCCAGGATAATCAATTTTACTTACAGATATTATCATAATTATTTTGATGTTTTTGTTTTGGAAATCTTTTGTATTGTATTACATCCATCTCATAAAAGACATGCTAGGCTGGATATGGACCTGATAGAGGCACATAGAACCCTGCTGTGACTCATACGAAGTTATTTTTAGATACTGAAAAGGCAATTCTCGTGACAAATATTTGACATCTATGTTTTTATTTTTCTTCATTTTCCCTGCAGCCTCAATGTTGAACCCTTATGCTTCTCAATACAGCATGTATAGGAACCCAGAATATAACAGGAACGTCAAATTTTTAACATTGTCAGATTTCTTGAACTTGACAAAAAGTCATACTTCCCTATCAGGTGTCATGATCATCATCGAGGTGTGTTCTGCTTCTGCCTGTTATTTCTGTCTACAATTTGTTCCATTAGCTGTAGATTATGTGAACATGTAATGTTTTAATGAAATGGAGAAAAATGAGAACAGAGTTTCGGAACTAGATGTGACTAGCATTAAATGCAGATATGGATTCTCATTATTTTTGTTGTCGATAAAATAAATATCAAATACTAAACAAATAAAACATTACATTGTTTAAAATTCTGCTAAGTACGGACCTTAAATATCTGTATGAATAAGAGAAAAAGGAGTATCAACTCGTTTATTAACTCGACTGGCAAAGGAGGAGCATGTGTGCTTCCGTTGCTGACAGGACAAACAATCTAAAGACTGAAGATCGGATAAAAGAGAAACCATCTTCTGCAATTTTGAAAGACTTGGATGACCGAAACAACTATGGATAAGTTGTGGAGATTCTGTGAGAGACCATGCCACTGAAGGACGAGGCATAACCAGATAGTAAAGCCCCCGTGACTCACGACCCACTTCAATCGTCTTCCCTGTACGTAGATCCTACACAGAAACAGAATTGTTAGAGAAAGTAATAGTGCAAGTGAGAGAGTGGACCAATTTACTAATAGAAATTAAGTTATAAGGGATGCCAGGAATGTAATAGACAGATATCAGGGTCAAAGTAGAGGTCGGAGCTTGTCCAATCTCATGAACTGAGGCTTTAGTTCCATTAGCAAAGGAAATTGAAGGTAAATGATCAGAATAAATAAGAGATGTAAAGAGTTCCTTAGTACCACAGAGATGATCGGTAGCACCTGAGTCAAATATCCAAGGACCAAGTGATGTAGAATGAGAGACACAAGCAACGGGGTTACCAGTATCTGGAGCGGAGGGCTGAGACTGAGGGGAAGCCTTCATGAGAAGAGTCTAGAGTGCAGCATAGTCCGCAGGTGAGAGAGAGACTGAACCAGATGATGCGGGTGAGGATACTTTGTGTAACAACGATCTTCAAAATGACCAAGTTGCTAACAATAATTACAACGAGGTCTTTGACCACATCCGCCCGGGCCCCAGCCACGATCACGACCACTGTTCCCACGAGTGCTAGTGCGGGAAACAAGAGCAGTGAAATTAACAATAGAAGATGGATCAAGAGAAGGAATTGGTTTCTTGTTGAGATTCAAGAGGCGTTGGTAGGTTAATGATAGACTTGGAGCTCCACTAGTCAAGATAGTGTCATGGACAACAATCATACTCCTCGGGAAGACCAAAAAGAGTGGTAACCATAAAGAGACGTTCCACCTGTTTTCGATATGCAGAAACATCAGAAGAGTAAGGCAACATGTCCATGTACGCCTGTATCAACGATCGACTTTTGGCAATATATGTTTCCATCTGAATATTAGATGATTTGCGCAAATTCGTAAGTTGAGACATGACAGAGTAGAGCTGTTGGATATCATTAGTGTAGAGGTGTTTGGTTTTCTCCCATACATCATAGCATGTCTGAAAAGAATAGAAAATGTCCAAAACAATTGGATCAATAGACTGCCAAAGAATACTCAGAAGTTGATTATCAATCCTTTCCCAATCATATTTCTCAGCCTTAGGGATTTCAGTAGATTGAACAGTGAGATGATGCCTATGCCTCTGTCCAAAGAACCAGACATGAATAGAGATGGCCCGATTCTTGTAGTTATCAGAACCCTTAAGTTTGGAAGAGGTAATGGGCCCAACATTAGTGGAGATGATACCCGAGAAAGTTTCGGCAGGAGGAAGAGGAGAGTTAATCTCTGAGTGATCAGGGGACGCACCTGCCATTAAAATAAAAAATAGAAAATTCATAGAACCAAGCAAACAGAGGCAAAAGATAACCAATCAAGAAGAAACGCGCCGAAAGTGAGACCCACAAAGAACCACAGACAGATCTAGAACAATGAGGAAAAACTGAGTTGTAACCTTTGGCGACTAATCGAGCCTTGTATCTCTCAAGAGTGCCATCAGAATTATATTTCAGAGCATAAACCCATCTGCACCCTACTGCTTTCTTTTCGTTGGGTCTATCAATAACCTTCCATGTTTTATTTTTCTCCAACGCATTCATCTCCTCTTGCATGGCTTGAGCCCAATTCTCATCTTTCAAGGCTTCATGTACTGATTTTGGAATTGCAATAGAATCTAGTGCTGAAACAAAGCTTTTGTGCTGCACAGAAAGATTAGCAGAGGAAACAAAGTGGGAGATAGGGTATTGAGTACAAGAGGGACATGAGGAACAATTTTTCTTGTGACAAGATCTTTTTCCTTTTCTAAGAGCAATGGGCAAATCATCAGAATCAACATTAATGGGTAACTCATCAGAAGTATTAACATCATGATCAGAAATATGAGATTCAGGAGAAACAGGAGACTCAGAAGAAACAGAAGATTCAGGACTTACCAGTGGTTCAGACGATTGAAGTTGTTGGTGAGACAATATGAGTTGTTTCCTCCTCTGATATACCAATTTAGGTGTCAAAATTTTCCGTATCTCAGGTGTATTTGAAGGTTTTGACACACCAGGAGCAGATACACTAGGTAGAGAGAAGACTGATCCAGGCTCAAAGAAGGAAGGGGACGAGTCTTCTGAAGAACTGTTCTCCCCCTGACGATGAGGACCCAGGAAATAAGATTCAGATTCTTGAAAGGTGACATCCATAGAAACAAAAAATTTCCGACTTGGTGGATGATAACACTTGTACCTTTTTTTATAAGGGGTATAACGAAGGAAGACACACTTAAGAGCCCTAGGATCCAACTTACTCCGATGTTGTTTATGAACATGGACAAAGGAAACACATCCAAACACTCTTGGTGGAAGGCTCTGCAATATGGGAACAGAAGGAAAGAAGGAAGTCATGGAATGAATAGGACTGATATTGTTAAGGACCCGTGAAGGTAAACGGTTGATCAAAAAAGTTGCAGCTAACACTGCTTCTCCCCAATAAGAACTAGGAACAGATGTCTGGAAAAGTAGTGCTCTAGCAACTTCAAGAAGGTGACGATTTTTCCTTTCAGCAACCCCGTTTTGTTGAGGGGTATCAACACATGTGAGCTCATGAATCATACCTCTGTCTGAAATGAATTGTGACAGGCGTTGATTGACGTACTCAGTACCATTATCAGATCTGAGTCTTTTAATACCTTTACCAAACTGAGTCTCAACCATGTGATGAAACCGAATAAATATCTCTGGTACTTCAGACTTGTCTTTCATCAAGTATATCCATGTTACCCGAGTACAATCGTCAATAAAAGAAACAAACCACCTTGCACCTGAAACACTGTGCACTTTAGAAGGGCCTCAAACATCAGAATGGATAAGAGAAAAAGGTTCCTTGCTTTTAATAGTGCTAGAAGGAAATGACACTCGATGGTGTTTTGCAAATTCACAAACATCACAATGAAAGGTCTCAACCGACTTATTGAGAAACAGAGAGGGGAACATAGACTTCAAAAGACTAAATGGTGGATGCCCCAGACGCTTGTGATGGAGTCAAATGATAGACTCTGCAGTAGAAGGATGACGTGTCATTAATAACTGATTTTTGCTAGCATGGTTTGGAAGGAGATGATACAACCCATCCTGTTCATTAGCAACTCCAATTGTCTTCTTCGTGGTAAGATCCTGAATAACACAATGAGAAGGAAAAAATGTAATAGAACAATTCAAATCAGTTGTAAGTTTTTGAGTGGAGATAAGATTAGTAGAAAGCTGAGGAACATAAAGGACATTCTTAAGAAACAAGGAAGGTTGAATTTGAATGTTACCAGAACCAATAACTGATTTATGGGATCCATCAGCTACGGATATAGTATGACTACCAACAGTAGGATGATAAGAACAAAACAACTCAGTACGACAAGCCATATGATCAATTGCACCAGAATCCAAAATCCATGAGGTTTTAAAATCAGTGCAAAAAGCAAGAAGAGATGTAGAACGTGTGTTCTTACCAGATAAGATCAAAGAACGGTCATATGGCTTACACATATTATCAATAATGGGTTTAAGCTGATCCATGGAGAGGAGACAAAAAAAAAAAAGTAGAATTTTTTTTTATTTTTTTGGTGAACAGTGCCGCGTTTTTTTTTTTTTTTGAGCTTTTCCGGTCGTCTGATGAAAAAGAAACCTCCGTAGAATGATAGATCTAAGAAAACAGAGTGAAACAGGGGTCCTCACGGTCCAAAAGGTCCCTCGAATTTTTTTTCCGACGGCGGCTTTGTGGCGGCGAGAGACAAATAGGGTTGGTTTTTAAAGATGGTGATTTGCGGAAGCAGAACCTTCAGAATCGAGAGCTCTGATACCAACTTGAAAAAGGTATTCTGATATATTATAGAATTGTGTAAATACTTTGTACAAAGGTTCTCTATTTATAGAGAATACTTGACCTAATGGGCTAAGCCCAATACAACAAATAATAAATAAATAAATAATATTAATATTTACAACACATAAATTTGTTAGCCAAATATTCCTCCTGATGTCTAGCATGACTAAATTCAGCAGTATAATTTAAGATTGTCTTCTCACCTTTTGGTTCTCTACTTAGAGAGCAAATATGACATACCAGCCCGAACACCCCCTCCCTATGAGTTTTGCATTTAATATTTCTTCACCAATTACTCTGTTCCCCTGAATTATTTCAAGCAAAGAAATAATTATGAAGTATATGGCCTTGAGGCCTAGTAGCACATCACTTGGTCACAAGGAGGCTGTGGTGTTCGAGGTGGAGAATTCTATCCCCCCACTCCCCATTCCCTACCTAGATCCCATTAGGGGTCTCTTAAATCACCAGGAACAAAGAAAAAAAGAGAGAGAATGAATTATGTTGTTTCTATTTTATTAGGATGCATTATAATTGTGTTGGTAACATGTCAATGGATGAAAAGCCGAGTTTCTACTAATTTAGTTTCTTTCATTTTTTGTTAACATCGTGTTGTTTTCTACTCTTGTCAGCATGCCGCCTATCTAGCAGAGAAGCAAAGCTTAAGTGTGACTGATGCAGTCATTGATACTTTGACCAAAGAAGGTTATGATAAACCAGGGTCTCAAAAAGTTATGATTCAATCCACTAATAGCTCTGTACTACTGAAGTTTAAGGAGAAAACCAATTATGAGCTTGTCTACAAGATTGACGAGATAGTTGGTGATGTTTTAGATTCAGCTGTTAAGGATATCAAAAGGGTAGCTGATTCTGTGGTTGTTGACAAGAAGTCTGTATATGCTGTTGAAATTTCCTTCCTGACTGCCCCTACAAACACTGTGTCAAAGCTCAAATCTTCTAATCTGTCTGTTTACGTAGAAACCTTCAGCAATGAGTTTGTATCTCAGACATATGATTTCTATGCAGATGCAACAGTGGAGATCAACACATTTGTTAATGACCAAAAAATTGACGGAATCATCACAGATTTCCCAAAAACAGCTAACAGATACAGACGTAAGTGCATGCAAAACCTTTGTTTATTGCTCCTGCATTTACATGTACAATTTTGGCATTATTTGGTTTTGATATATTCTGTTTAATCACTATAGGCACTTTTTACTTCCAACTCCTTTCCTTACTTTATTTTCATGTAGTAAATCTTCCCTCATCATTGCTATTGGCATAACCATATAACAAACAGTCGATTACTTTTCTCCTTTCGTTTTCTTTTCTGTCATGTTTTTTACGGAGGTAAGATTGCTCCTTGCGACATTCCCAGGTTCGAGTCAAGGAAACAGTCTCTTTGCAAATTTGCAATGATAAAAATGCGTACAATCGATTCTTACCCTACTCTTGCAAGTTGAGGAACTTTGTGCATGGGAGTTAATATTAGGGGTGCTGTTAGAAGTTAGAGTTTATTACTAGAGGAGTTACATGATTGTTAGGAAGGTGTAGAATTATTGTGTGTATAAATAAACATAAAGCATAGAAATGGAATGAATCATGAATCTTGAATTGTTTCCTTCCTTCTCTTGATTTTCTTCTCTCTGTTAGATCCCTTAATCTTGAGAATTTTCTCCTCTTTTAGAGCTTAGCTCTAACATTGTATTGAAAAGAAGTTTCTGTATATTGATATTGAATAATTTACATGAGTGAGTATTTATACAAGAAAAAATCGCTAAGAATGACTAAGCGATGACTAATCAATCCTAATCACAATCAATTCTAATCAATCACAATCAATCCTAATCAATCAAAATCAATCCTAATTAATAGGAAATCAAAACGGAAACATGTTTGGATTCTGATTTTCTACACTCCCCCTCAAGTTGGGAGGTAAATATTGATCATTCCCAACTTGCCAATCAAGTCTTCGAATGCTGGACGGTGTAGGCCCTTGGTAAGGATATCTGCCGTTTGCTCTTTGGTTGGAACATATATCAAACGCACACTTCCATCATCTAATTTTTCTTTGATGAAGTGACGATCAACTTCCACGTGCTTTGTTCGATCATGATGCACATGATTTTGAGCAATGCTAACAGCTGCCTTGTTGTCACAATATAGTTTTATTGGTAGGGAATATGAAATCTTCAACTCTTGAAGAAGTCTTCTCAACCAGATTCCTTCACAAACTCCATGAGATAAAGCTCGAAATTCTGCTTCAGCACTACTTCTTGCAACCACTGTTTGTTTTTTGCTTCTCCAAGTAACAAGATTTCCCCACACATAGGTGCAATAGCCTGAGGTAGATCTCCTGTCTACTGATGAGCCTGCCCAATCTGCATCAGTGTAGATTTCAATTGTCCTTTTATACCCCTTTTTAAAGAATAATCCTCTTCCTGGAGTATTCTTGAGGTATCTAAGCACCCTATAGACTGCACTAAGATGCTTCTCCTTGGGTGAGTGCATGAATTGACTAATCATACTCACCGCAAAGGCAATGTCAGGACGCGTATGAGATAAGTAGATTAGTTTACCAACCAATCGCTGATATTGTTCTTTATCCACCTCATTCCCATCTTCAATACCTAACTTGGTATTTGGTTCCACAGGTGTCTCAGCAGGTTTACACCCTAACATTCCTGTTTCCAACAAAAGATCTAGAACATATTTTTTTTGTGTTAGAGTGATGCCTGTTTTGCTCCTAGCAACTTCCATACCAAGGAAATATTTGAGAGTGCCAAGGTCTTTGAGTTCAAATTGAGCTGCTAGAAATTTCTTCAAGGTGTTCAATTCCTCAATATCATCACCTGTAAGAATTATATCATCTACGTATACAATAAGAATAGCAATTTTACAATCCTTAGAGTGTTTGTGGAAGAGAGTATGATCAGTTTGTGCTTGAATGAAGCCTCTTCTTTTGACTGCTTGTGTGAATTTGTCGAACCATTCTCTGGGAGACTGTTTTAATCCATATAGAGACTTTTTTAGTTTACACACTGATCCATTTCCCTTTTCAAAACCAGGTGGAGGATCCATATAGACTTCTTCATGTAAGTCACCATTTAGGAATGCATTCTTCACATCTAACTGTTGCAGAGGCCAATCTAGATTGGCAGCAAGAGATAAGAGAACTCGGATGGTATTGACTTTAGCAACCGGAGCAAAAGTCTCATGATAATCTATCCCATGAGTCTGAGTGAAACCCTTTGCAACCAATCTTGCCTTGTATCTGTTGATGCTATTATCTGCATTGAATTTTATTGTAAACACCCATTTGCATCCTACTGCCTGTTTTCCTTTGGGTAGGGTCACTATCTCCCAAGTTCCATTTCTTTTTAAAGCATTCATTTCTTCAAAGACAGCATCCCTCCATTTTTGATCATTGAGAGCCTCATGTATATTTCTCGGTATCTTTGTACTATCCAACATAGTATTGAAAGCACGAAACCCTGGGGACAACTTTCCATATGAAATATGATTAGAAATAGGATGAGTAGTACAAGATCGAGTACCTTTTCTGAGAGCAATGGGCAAGTGTAGATCATTTTCACCATGACACTCAAGTATTGGGGTGCTAGAACTAGAACATGGTTCAGAATCCTGGCAGTGTAGAGGCTCTGGGTTATTCACACTTTGAGGAGTCTTTCGCCTGCTATAAACTTGTCCCCATTTTGAGGAGGCTCCTGATGGTGAGGATTCTGTAGCTCCCCCTGTTTCCAAAATTAGAGGTAATACCGTGGCATCAGTAGGTTCCCATGACTGATCATCATCTACTCCTATCTCCCCCTGAAGAGAAGTCGAGGGGAAGAAAGGGTCATTTTCAGAAAAAAGTGACATCCATAGAGACAAAGACCTTACGAAGAGAGGGTGAATAACATTTATAGCCACGTTGAGTAGGAGAATAACCAATAAAGACACACTGGAGAGACTTAGGATCAAGCTTAGACCGTTGATGGGAGGGAATATGGACAAATGCAACGCAACCAAATAACTTGAGAGGTAAGGAGGAGACACCTCGGAAGGAAGGGAAGATACGAACAAGACTAGAAAGAGGAGACTGAAATTTCAGAATGCGAGATGACATTCGATTTATCAGATACGAGGCAGTGAGAACTGCCTCTCCCCAAAGATATTTAGGAACACTCGTGGTAAACATAAGAGCCCGAGCAACTTCAAGGAGATGTCGGTTTTTTCTTTCCGCAACTCCGTTTTGTTGGGGTGTGTCAGGACACAAGCTTTGGTGAAGGATGCCATGTTGGGAAAGATATTCTCCAAGAATAGAGTTAAAATACTCTTTGCCATTATCTGTACGAAGAATTTGTATAGCAACTTGGAATTGAGTTTGAACCATGGCATGAAATTTTTTAAACACGGATGCAGCATCAGACTTATCCTTTAGAAGATACACCCAACAGACTCGAGAATGGTCATCAATGAAGGTAATGAACCATCGAGTACCTGAAATATTTTTAACACGGGCTGGACCCCATATGTCACTATGAATTAAGGAAAATGGGGAAGAGTCACGGTGAACTTTAGAAGGATAATGAGCACGAGTATGCTTGGCAAGTTGACAAATATCACAAGAAAACAAACTTGGACTTTTATGAATAAATAAGTTTGGCAACAACTTCTGAAGATAAATAAAATTTGGATGGCCTAGCCTACGATGCCACATCATAACATCATTACATGAATCAAAAGGAAACATAGAGTTTTTTTTCTACGAAAACAGCTTCATGAGTCACATCCTCCTCAAAGTAGTAAAGTCCACCATCCTCTCTAGCACTGCCAATCATCCTCTCCGAGTCCTGTTCCTGAAAAACACAACCATGTGGAAAGAATTTAGCAAAGCAATGCAACTCAGAGGTGAGCTTGCTAATAGAAATGAGATTACAAGTCAGAGAAGGAACATAAAGAACTGATGTCAAAGTAATCAGCTCAGAAAGTTTAATGGTTCCGTGTCCCGCAATCTGGGAAAAACTGCCATCGGCGATCTTGACCCGAGAAGGTTCAGAATATGGAGTGTATGAACAAAACAAGCCAAGATTACCTGTCATATGATCAGAGGCTCCAGAATCAAGGATCCAATGATTTTGACTATCAACATGGAAAGTTGTCCCTTGCTGGACCACATGACTAGTGGCCTTAGGAGGTTGAGTCAAAAGTCTCTGAAGTTGTTCAAACTTAGTCTTGCTAAGAAAGACACCATCAGAGTAAGAGGAAGAGTGTTTTGAGGAAGCCATGAATAGAAAGAGAAGGGTTGACCGTTGATGAAAAATCAAGTTTTGTAAATTTTTGATATGACCTCTGGAACAGGAAGGGGAGAAGCCGGCGAGAAGGTCTGTGCAAGTCGCGGCAGAAAAAGACGTTGGGAAGGCGGCGCGTGGAGCTCACGCGCCGGAAACTGGCCGCGCGTGCGGCGGTTGACGGCGATGGGTCCAGCGGCGGTCGACTCGTCGGATCCTTCTGAGTCGAATGGTCACCTCACTTTCTTGATCGGAGGTCAGTAGACTAGGTTTCTGTGTTGGACAGATTCAAGGAGGTGTTTAGGAGGTGTTTGACGGTGATGGAAGTGTTGGATGGTTATTTCAGATTTGAATCAGGGTAGGAACGAACCCGCTCTTGATACCATATTGAAAAGAAGTTTCTGTATATTGATATTGAATAATTTACATGAGTGAGTATTTATACAAGAAAAAATCGCTAAGAATGACTAAGCGATGACTAAGCGATGACTAACCAATCCTAATCACAATCAATTCTAATCAATCACAATCAATCCTAATCAATCAAAATCAATCCTAATTAATAGGAAATAAAAACGGAAACATGTTTGGATTCTGATTTTCTACACATTGGTGTTTTCATCTTGAACAAGTCACCATCTTCAAGATGCGTCTTTAAGATCTTGTAGAAAAATTTAAATTGTTTCAGTTACTTGTTGAGCAAAGGTTGCCCATGTTTTTTACTGGGTATATTTTATAGCAAATTTTGTTTTCTTTTCATGTCTTATTCAGCTTTACAATGAAGTCTCACATCTGTTTACTAATATGAATGTTCCTCATCCTAATGCAGGGAACAGATGCTTAAATTTGGGTGAGGACACACCTCCTTACATGAAACTTCCTCCAATTGGTGGTCTTTTACCTATCATACCTAAAAATCAGGTGCCACCAGCTGAGGCTCCAGCCCCTCCCTTGACTGAATCTGAAGTGATAGAACCACCTTTGCCTCCTGTTTCTAAAACAGCCTCATCTTCTAGCCCTGTTGCTGGAACTGTGCCTGAGACACAACCACCAGGAAATGCCCAGGCTAAGGTCACTGTCTGCTTCTTCTTGTCCATTCTGGCTGTGCTTGTAGCTTCTCTTCTGCACTGAGTGATATAGACTTATATATATATATATATATATATATTGAAAAAAGGGTTGGTTATGCTGACTTTAGCCTTCTATTTTCCCATCCCTTTCTGGATTAAGTACATGAATAATCCAGATTTTTTACTTGCAGCTGTAAATTATTTCCCTTAACTGTTGTAGCTAGGTATGTCCATTCCCGCTTCACCAATCTGTCCTTGGTTAACTCTATGAACTATTCTGGTCATGATTATTAAATTGTAATTCAAATGGTAACTCGACAAGCTATTTTTTGAATTCAAACGTACTGAATAGTAAGTTTCAAAGACATTATAAAAGATAGTTTGAAATAGATCATTTAAATGATGTATAATGCACAATGTAATTATTTTAAACTAGGAATTAGAAATTGGCAAAATAATTTAACCCCCATGCTCACCAAATAAGGCAACAAAGCCCAACAAAGTCTCAAGTCATATAACAATATAAAGACAAATAAAACATAAATCGGCATCCAAGCAGATCAGCATAAACATGCATAAACAGTCAACTAAGCTCCGGCCTCCTGCCGCCCGAGGTATCAGCCCTTGAGGTACCTGAACCTGAAAATGTGCCCCAAACATGGGGTGAGATCTCTAAACAAAAATCTCATTAAGACAAGGGGTCCTTAAGGATCTCTCCACCCCAAGCTCACTTACATGTGCAATATAAGTTCAAAAGCAGTAATACAATATAAGTGTTGGACAAGTGGCCTCAAACTCAAGAGGGGGTGAATTGAGTTTTAAAAATATTTTCGCAAAATGCCTCACTTTCTTTCTTGAAAAAGATTTTCTTGAATTAATATGATTTATACACAAGCAAGACTAAGAGAATAAAAATCAATACAAGCAAATAGTATGCAAAGTGTAAATTTAAATAAGCTTAAGTAATCAAATAATGCTAATATAACGAGATAAAGGGTTAGAGAGATTGCAAACACTATATATCCTGATTCGGTCACCACCACTATGACCTACGTTCAGATTGAAGACCCCCGTTCAACTTTCCACTAAAGATCAAGCTTCAAGGGTGCTTGACAAACCACTACAACCTTCAAGACTTTTGGTTCTTGAAACCCTTACGCTTCCACTCACTTTCTTAGGCTATGAGCAACCTTTACACTAGGGTCTCACTACCCTCAACTCAAATAAACAGAATGAGAGTGTTTAGAAATGGATTTGTACTCTTAAAGTACAGATTATACAAGTTGAAGCTTATGAGTATTGATCAATGACACAAGAATAAAGCTCAAAGGAGTTTTATGATCAAAATGAGTGAGAACAAGCAATGAAGGATTTTAAATCAATGAGAATGATCAAAGATGATTGCAAAATCAATGGAACAGTAAAACTTAGCTTGCTTGTTCGTAATAGATGAGTTTATATAGGTGTTGGGACGAAACTATCCGTTTATAGCCGTTACACTGCTTACTGTCCAGTAAGTATTCGTATACTTTTCGTGAAGTATTCGAATACTTCATCTAGTGTTCGAATACTTTTCTTAAAGTATTCGAATACTTTGTTCTTAGGACAAGTATTCGAATACAGTCAAGAAAGTATTCGAATACTTTCTTGACAGAACCTTAATAATGCAGTTTTATGAGTTGTAAAGCATTCCTTTTAGTCTCTAATCACTTTTAATGTATTTCCTTGACTTGTACAAAATGTTTTGAGGTTACGAAATATGTTAAGGGTCTTTTTCATAATAATTAAAGCTTTCAAGTGATTGATGACATGGATAATGCATGCATAGAGTTAAATATCCTTTGAGCTCATTTATGCATCATTAATCAATTACCTTTACAATTAGATCTAAGCTTTCAAGGACATGTTGCAATCTTGATCTTGTGTGTTGAATGATTTGTGTTGCGAATAATCGGCAAGTGTACCGATCGTTCCAAGTAATAAAAGGGTAAGTAGAGTATTGTCTCCACGAGGATTGAGGCACCGAATTTATGATAACTATTCCTCTCTTGTTGGATTAATAAAAATAGTTTAAGAACAATTATGGTTTGTGAAATATGATAACAATTCAAGAAAATGTAAACAATTCAAAGGTTCTTTAGAAACTCAAGAACACAAGATTAAAGGTTGAGAAAATATTTGAGAAAATATTGCGGTAAAGAGACGCCAACACCTTTATGATCCTCACCTTGTAACTTGAATCAACGTTTACATTCAATTATGCAATTGATAAACTGATTCACTATCTTTTATTTAATTGGTTAAGCCTTAATTCCTTAATGATCTTAACCTTATCAACCCTATTAGAATCGTAATCCCTTAGAAATCCCCTTTTAAGTTGAGCCTTCGAATCAGTGAATCTTTCACGTTTGCGGTTCATGTAGCCTATCCCTAGTGCATACATGAACAGTTATCTTACCTCTTGTCAGGAATTAGAATTCTAATATTCCTATTGAAAACCCTAACCCTCGCAATCCTAAAAGAATGATCAGTTCTAGAAGAATTATAAGATGAAGAACAAGGTAAAATAAACTCAATTAACATAGATGAATATAAATTTAACCAAACTACAAGGGGTTCACATCAAGGGTTGTGACCCTTACCACAATAATTAAACTAGCCAGACATATTCATGTCTGACAAAATAAACATAAAAGAAAATAAAATTCAGAACCTAAAGAAGAGAAAGAAGATGAAGATCTTCCGTCTTGATCGTTCGAATCTTTGAAACTCCAAGAAGCTCCCAAGAATTCTCCCTCTCTTTGTTGTTTTTCTCTTCCTTATTGTCAAAAAGTCCTCCCTTCCTCTGTTTTTGATCCTTTTATTAGGTTTTGGGAAAACCTACTTTCAATTGCTCTCCAATTGGGCCCATTTTTCGAGTAATTTGCATCAGATTAAAACAGAAAAATATCGCTCACGCACTTTGAGCCAGGTCTGGCGCACTGTGCATGAGAAAAAAAGAAGGAAAACTGTGAAATGGCGCACCGTGCGCCAGGCCCGCGTACCGTGCGCCGCCTCCAGCGCACCGTGCGGCGGGATACATTGGCGAATTGCATAAAACGGCGCACCGTGCGCCAAGTGGAAAATTTGACTTCTCTGTTTTGCTTCCTTTTGTGGCGTTTTCTACTATTAAAACACATAAATTGAGTGAGAGAATGATTGAGAAGGAATAATCAATATTTCTTACATTTATGACTTATTTTCACACATTTATGATTAATTCCTTGCTTCTTTTAAATTAGAAAGTACCATATGCTAGACGCACATCAATTTGTTTTTGTTGTCTTGTTGAATTGCTTCCTTGGACTTTTGATTGTTGCGAGTTGTATTATCTTTGACGTCGTTTCTAAGCTTGTTTGTTATCATCAAAACTCTTGTATAAACGAACTCTTCATTTTAAACGCATTGGTTTCACAATCTCCCCTTTTTTGATGATGACAAACTCAAATTGAGAAAAGAGATTAGCATAGTATGTATTTTGATAAAATGATACTAGGACTCCCCCTTAACATGTGAATAGTTGAAAAAGAGGAGTTCTAGATCTATATTTACCTTATTTTTACCTTTCATGATTATGCTCCCCCTGTTTACCTTAGTTTATGCTCTTTTTGACGTAAAGGGTAGGTTGTGCAATTTTTTCTCAATTCGCAATTGCTTCTCCCCCTTAGGCAACATAAAAAACAAAAGCATAATTCAAAGCAAAAGAAGTAGGAAATTGAAATGAAAATCATTATAGATAAAGTCAAAGTCATCACAAAAAATCAACATCCAACCAGATAATATAAACCCAAAAAGTAAAAGTCAACATCAGAGGTCAGTGGCATCAAAAAGATAGAGATGCATAAAGAAGGTGACTGCAGGTGTCATATCTCCGGTGAGCCAGGAGGAGAAAGGCCCGCAGCACCGTCATCAGTGTTAAGCAAGCCAAGATTACGCTCGATGCAGGTGAGATGCTGACCCATGACTTTGTTCATTCCAACTAGATAATCCATTACATCGTCGAGAGTGGAAGGACGTCGAGAACGTGTGCGGGAAGGAGACTGAGGGATAGGAGGATCTGCAATAGCAGGAATATCAGCAGAAACAGCTGCAGGCATAGCAGCATCATGAGCAGGAGCATCCTCATCCATGGGATCAGCAGAAGGAGCAATAGAGGAATAGACCCTAAAAGTTCATATTCTACAAGTTCATGACATAACGACAACGTTATCCTTTTACGTTTCATGCCATTAGGCTTCTCCCAAAGCCCTAAGCCCTTAATCCCTTTGATTCTGACTTAGATTAATTATTACAGAGGTTTAACTTAACCAATCTAGGGTCCACAAACCCCAAATACAGTTCTGTATGAACAGAACAGTGACTGTCTCGAAATTTCCAGAATATTCGGATATTTGTCGGAGGCATATCCGGATATCCAAAACCCCATATCCGGATATCATATTTGGATATTTTGCGACAGAATGTAATTCTGCATTTTCGCGAAGATATCACCCAAATGTTGTTCTTTTAACGATTCCAAAAGCTTAAACATGCATTTCTAGGTGTGTTTAACCTTACTCACCCTTAAGTTATTAACTTTAGCTTGTTACATGAATCAAGGTCCATTCTTTCCAAAGAAAACTCAAGACAAAGGTGATGGTGCTTACCACCAAGGCTTGGAACAGAAACAATGATGCTCTTGGAGCTAACAATGCAGCTCCAACAATCTGACTTCAAAGGCCCACGAAAATAGTGATCAAGCAAGGTCCTTTCTCCACAAAATTAGCTCCTTGAAGCCCCACAAGCAAAGACAGTGGCTCCTTCCCCACAAAACAGTGAAGTCAGCCCTCACACACTTAACCTAGTGGCTGCAATGACTCATAACAAGGTGGCTCTCAACCTCACTAGTCTTGCTCTCAACATCTATGGTGATTCAATAAGGAAACTAGGAAGAGAATGGCCACTTGGCTCACAATGGAAGAGAGGAAAACAAAGGAGTGCCAAGGATAATCAGCCACCAAGGTCTCACGTAGGATCTGTGTA